ATCCTCTCCAGCATTTATTGCAGATTTTTTGATAGTGGTCATTCTGACTGGTGATACCTCATTGTAGCTTTTGATTTGCACTTCTCTAATAATCTCTAGTAATTAGTGATGTTGAGCATCTTTTCATGCACCTGTTGGCCATTTGTATGTCTTCTTTGGAGAAATGTCTGTTTTTGTCTTCTGCCTATTTTTTGATTAGGTTGTTTGTTTTTTTATGAGCTATATGTATATTTTGGAAATTAAGCCCTTGTTGGTCACATCATTTGCAAATAATTTCTCCCAGTTCATAGATTGTCTTGTTTGGCTGATGGTTTCTTTAGCTGTGCAAAAGCTTATTAGTTGGATTAGGTCTCATTGGTTTATTTTTTATGTTTATTTTTTGCTTTTATTTCTGTTGCTTTGGAAGACTGATCTAAGAAAACATTGGTATGATTTATGTCAGAGAATCTTCTGCTTATGTTTTGTTTAGTTTTATGGTGCCCTATTTTAATCTTAGTGTTTGTTTTGTGTGGTCTTGGATTAATACTCTGTTCACCTTCTCATCCCTAAAAGGTGGTGGGGTAGGGGGATAGGTTTTATCTTAAGTACCTCCCTGGAATACTTTGAGGGTTTGGAGGCTGTGTCATAGTTTAGCAAAAATAACTTTCATAGTTAGCTGCTAAAACTTTCATGAGCCTCTTGTTAGGCATTTGCTGTTTTTTTTATAGTCATCAAGTTTTAAGTATTGAGCCATTTTATATTTCTGGCTATATTTGAAACTAGTTAATTTTCACATGAATTGTCATAATCTTCTTAGTTGTTTTTACCTTTCCATAGATAAAGCTTCACCTTAAAACTTCTAAGTACATCATTCTTTGTGTTTCTCTTTCTTTTGGTACCCTATAATCTTGATTTAGGGAGGGGTCAGATTTTAAAATTGTTTTCCTCTATTTTCTTTTTTTGGGTGCCAAAATCTGTTTTCTTAACAATTAATGAAAATCTTTGAAATCATTTTGTGATAACAGTGATACAGAAGAGTTTCCATATTACAGATACAATCCAGCTGAAAAAGGATACTTCATGGGAACTAGATGGGGAAACAGTGGCTGACTTTATTTTTTTGGGCTCCAAAATCACTGCAGTTGGTGATTGCAGCCATGAAATTTAAAGACACTTACTCCTCGGAAGGAAAGTTATGACCAACCTAGACAGCATATTTAAAAGCAGAGACATTACTTTGCCAACAAAGGTCCATCTCGTCAAGGCTATAGTTTTTCCAGTGGTCATGTATGGATGTGAGAGTTGGACGGTGAAGAAAGCTGAGCACTGAAGAATAGATGCTTTTGAACTGTGGTGGTGGAGAAGACTCTTGAGAGTCGCTTGGACTGCAAGGAGATCCAACCAGTCCATCCTAAAGGGTCCTGGGTGTTCATTGGAAGGACTGCTGCTGAAGCTGAAACTCCAATACTTTGGTCACCTCATGTGTAGAGTTGACTCATTGGAAAAGACCCTAACGCTGGAAAGGATTGGGGGCAGGAAGAGAGGGGGACGACAGAGGATGAGATGGTTGGATGTCATCACTGACTCGATGGACATGGGTTTGTGTAGACTCCGGGAGTTGGTGATGGTCAGGGAGGCCTGGCGTGCTGTGATTCATGAGGTCGAAAGAGTTGGACATGACTGAGTGACTGAACTGAACTGAATATAGATATAAGCTATTGTAAAATAAGCTTTCGGGGAACATATGAACATTAGGTGTTCAATGTGAATGAACTTCTTACATTGCCAGGCAAGGAAATTGTTGATTGCTAACACATTATTTAATTGGTCCCATGAAATGATTGCAGGATTGGGCTTGTTAGGCCATAAATGAAGATTAAGTACAACATTGAAGGCAATATTTTAAATGCCATCTTAGGGTGTAAATCTTTAAGTTGGGAAAGCCTTTCTTTTTTATCTTATTTGCCAGAATTAGTTTCTCCAGAATTAATTTTCTCAAGAGTAATTAGTGAGCCAATTCATAGTACTGAATTATTTAACATTAGCTCTTTGGGTACTTTGTATATTGGTTCTAGGTTTTTCTTTTGGTATGTGTGCCTGTGTTTAGTTATCTGTTTTATATATAGTAGTGTATATTTTTCAAGAAGAAGGAACCCTTCTACCTTATTGGTGGGAATGTAAATGGTACAGCCACTGTGGAGAACAGTATGGAGCTTCCCTAAAAATCCAAAAACGGAGCTCCCATAAGATCTATCTATCTCACTCCTGAGCCTATACCCAGAAAAAACCACAATTCGAAAAGATACTTGCACCCCAGTGTTCATTGCAGCACTACCAGCAATAGCCAGAGGATTATAATAGCCAGAGCAGCAATAGCTAGAGCATTGTAATAGCAGTCGCCAGGAAGCAACCTACATGCCCATTGATAGAGGAATGGATAAAGAAGATGTGGTACATATATCCACTGTTTTTCTCTATCATCAATAAAAAATTTTTCTGTTTCTTTCAGGGCTTGGGCCACTTGTTTCTCCCTTGTTAATTATGTGGTAGAGAAAAATGTGACTTAGGAATGATGACATAGCTGAAGTGAACAGAAAAGTGTGATGATATGATCTGGATTGAAATGATAATAGTTTTTAAAATGTCATTCTCTAAGTAGGGTCTGGCAGGAAAATGATATAGACATATTTGAGCAAAACGATTTGCAAAGATTTTGTAGGGATTACAAATATTCCTAAAATATGTTTAAAGGGAAAAAGCTTTTTTGTGTACATACAAAAATTTAATTAGTAAGACCAAAAAAAGTTGGAGGAGAAAAAAAATCCCATGTTTTAAGACAGCTGTCTCTGTAAATTAAATTATACCAGTAATCGGTTGTGTATTCCAGAAAACTGTATGTTTTCTGAATTCCATATCTTGTCTGCCTTCTTTTTTTTACTTAGTGCCACATTCAAGTCCTTCAATACTCATTTGTTTGGAAACTTCTTTTTAGATCTAATCCAATCCATTTAACACCATACCAATGTTAGCCTTCATAGGAATGTAACTAACAAACACCTGCATGCTCTGGCTGGAGCAGCTGCTCCGTAACCTCAGGTGTTTTTGGGAACAGCTTTTCCTTCCTCTCCCTGGCTGAGTCCTGATATATCTAGATCTGTTACTAAAACTTCTGCCATATGATGTTTTATAATGTGATTCATTAATCCAGTAAACATTTTTTGAGCCCTTGCCTTGTGCAGTTTCTAAACACTGAGAAAACATGTGAGCAAAACATTATTTCTGCTTTTTCAGAGCTGACAGTATAATGGAGGAATCAGATCAGTGTAAATAATTAGCAGAGAATAAAATGAGTACTAACAGAAGTATGGATAAAGTGCTGTGGAAGCTCTGAGGATGTGCTTCATCGTGCATAGTGTGGGCCAGAGGTAGCTTCTTAATGAAGAATAGTTTGACTTTACTAGATAAAATAGGGAGGACTTTGCTTGTAAAGAGAATAACATATATATGAAGGTGAGAAAGAAAATACCCTGGAGAAATGCACTTCTTTGAGGTGTAGTGTTTTGTTTGCTTGTTTTTTTAATTAAGACTGGAATATACAAACTTCATCTTGCCAAGATATGGGGTTTAGACTTTTTTCCTAAGCTACTGAAATTATTGAAAGATTTTCAGCATTAGGGAGAAGGAAATGCCAACCCACTCCAGTATCCTTGCCTGGAAAATCCCATGGACAGAGAAGCCTGGCAGGCTACAGTCTCTGGGGTCACAAAGAGTCGGACATGACTGTGTGACTAACACTTTAAACATTAGAATGATTAGATCATTTGAAAGATCACTTTGGCAGTCTTGGAGAGTGATTTGAAGCAAACAAAATTGGAATGAGGGAGATCAACTTAGGCAGGAGTTAAGCATCTGAAATACAGTGGCAGTGGAGTTGGAGAGGAAGGAATGAGTTTAAGACCCTTGACTGTAGTAGAGTTCTCTTGACTGTGAGGAAGGACTCACTGGGGCAAGTCAGCAATTACTTAGATTTCTAGCTTCAGTGTCCAGGAAAATAAAGGTATTCTGACTAAGCAAATGCTGAGGAGGTGGAACTCTGTGATTGCACCAGTCAACAATAATTGCATGGGTTTCTTAAGACAGTTTTGTATACCAAATTCAGAAATATTAGATACTTTTATGTGTAGAAAGTCTCCATATTTTTTTTAAAAAAAAGGATGTTTAAGATAGGAAAATGGAAATATTTAACATACTTGGGATTATGCAGGTAGAACATTTTTGTTTTAGATTTATTAACTTTTAATGCCTTTTTATTTTATTTTTAGTTGGAGGATAATTGCTTTACAATGTTGTATTGGTTTCTGCCATACAACAACGTGAATTAATCATCAGCATAGGTTCATTAACTTTTGATTTAGATACATGTTCAGTTTTCTTTACTGATGAAGTCAAATTGTAGTGAATTTTAAATTGTTCTGTTTGGAATTTGTGAAATCATTTAAAAACTAATTATGAATTAATTAGAAATGAAAACAATTGACTTTACAATGAAAAATAATGCAAATTTTCTTTTGCGTGTCTTGAATTTAAAAAGCCATTAAATTGAGAATTACTTTCCTTTATCGAAACAGTTGTACCCCACATTTGAATTCATGTTTTTCTCATTACTGATCTGAGAACAGTAACGTAGGAAAAAGAAACGTGTATGTGCGTGATTCAGTGCAGAAGGTGTTCTGTTGCCCTAGTAGCACAGAACAAGCTGAAGAGAATATTGGTATACTTGGTGAAAATGGTCCACAGTAAGTGGGTGGAAAGAGATCCTGGTGAAAGACAGACAAGAGCAACCAGGAGATGGCTACTGGCTCTGGCCTAAAGTTCTATTTTTCTCCATTGTACATATTGAAACATTAGTTTCTTTTAGCTAAAACATAATTTGATAATATGAGTTAGTATTTTTTTCATAGCAAAAAATGAGAAATTTATTAAGTTTAATTTTAGTACTTTCCCCCCATTTTTTTTTTTAGATCGTATAATGAAAAAAACAGAAGAGTCTGAATCACACCTGGAGTCTGAAATTAAAAGGAAAGTTGCACAGAAACGTCACAGTAGTACATATCAGTCTACCCCACCTTCTCCGTCTCCTGCTTCCAAAAAATGTTTAACTGATTTAGAGGTGGGTAGAGAAATTATTCTTTGTTGCTAATCAGTTGGTATTTTTATTAATATTATTCTTAGTACTTATTAAATTCTGGTGATCTTTTCAAATAGGACTGGAAGAGAACTAGAAAAGGTTACTTTGGCAAACTTTTCTGCCTTCATTAGATCATTTTTCAATTGTCAGAAGTCCAGAATATGTATCTTTCTGAAAAGGTGTATGAATACTTCCCTATAACATACTTCACATAATTGCTCTCAGTCAGAGTTTTAAAAAAAAAATTCTCATGTAAAGCCAGAGTACAACTGTCAAAAATGTTTATTTAACATGGATCCAGAATTATCATCTAATGCACAAACTCCATTCACATTTCTCTAAGTGTGTCCTTTATGGAAACAGGATACAGTTCAGGATCGTGTTACATTGAGGTGGCGATCTTCAGTCTTCTTTAATCTGGAATAATTCCTTGATGTTCTTTTGTCATTCATAACCTTGATATTTGTAAGAAACATAGGCCACTTATTTTGTACCTCAAGTTGAATTTGTCTGCATGTTCATCATGATTTATACATTTTTCAAGATTCCTCAGAGGTGATGCTATGATCTTATTGCATCATATCCAGAGGTATATAATGTTGATTTTGACATTATTGCTGATACTCACTTTTATCTTGTTTAAGATGTACTCTTCTAGATTTTTCCAGGTATTTTAGTAGGTGTTTTTAGTAGGTATTGCTGTGTACTCAGTCACTCATTTCATGTCTGACTCTGTGACTCTATGGACTGTAGCCCACCAGGCTTCTCAGTCCATGGAATTTTCCAGGCAAAAATACTGGAGCAAGTTGCCATTTCCTACTCTAGGGAGTCTTCCCGACCCAGGGATCTAACTTGCCTCTCCTGCATTGGCAAGCGGATTCTTTACCACTGAGACACCCGGGAGGTCCCTAGTATTTCTATACTTACTTGTTAATAAGAGTTTTTTCTTATCCCACATTTACTTACATATTTTCTATTTTTATCAGCATGGAGACATAGATTCTTGTTTTTCTCAGAAAGGTTATTCTCCACAACTGTCATTATTTATTTTGATGTTCCAAATTGCTCTAGATTTGGCCCATGGAGAGTTCTTCAAGTTGGCTGCTGTTTTCTTTTTGATGTATCCCCATCATTATTTGAGTACCTGCTTTCTGGTTTAACCAGGTGGTCTAGATTTCTTTGTATTTCTCTGTATCAGCTCTGTAATCATGCATTTCTCCAAGGAGCCATTGTTTGTATAAGTGGAAGGAAAATATTTGGGCAGTAGTTGTGCTCGTTGCTACTAGGTGTCAAATTTGTAGGCCTACTCAGCAGACTGAACTAGGAATATTTGTGTATGTTTGTGTTAATATTTAGTATGTATTAAAATTCATGAGTTTGCATTGATAACCCCAATTCTAGTCCAGCACCACAGTGTTTATTTTAGCCTTTTGTGCTTTGCATGTTTTTGTAACTCCCTTCTCTGACTAAGAAACCTGTCTTCCATTATCTCCAGTGTATTTACTTATTTGCTCAGTTGATTTTTCTGTGGCCAGTCTTCTGGCACGCAAGTCTAAGGTTGGCTTGGGCTATACTGTCATCACCCACACTGCTTGGCCCTTTGCTGAACCCCTGGAAAGGAAGAGAAAAGAAGAAAGCTTCTTCCCACACACACACCATCCTTCCTTCCCTAGGCATGCCAGCTAAAAGCCTAAGAAGGTTTTTTTTAACATCATAAATATATTTTCTTTCTTTTTACTCTTCTGTGCCACTTATTCTTTTCTTAGTGGAGATAAAGAATAGATTATAGCCATCCTCTATGTAATTTTAAATTTTTGAACAAGATTAGTGGTTTTTCTTTCCATGTATAGTATGTGAAATTTCACATTACATATTGCTTGTAAAAAAACGAAATCTTTAGTATTTAATGAGATTATAACAGGTTCAGAATATTTACAAAATATGACATTGTCTCAGTGGTGTCTCATCAAAGACATGCTTATTCTTATTAAGTATACAGGTTATTATTAATGTGTATAGACTGGCAGATAATATGTGATAATGAGATTTGGATTTATTTTAAAGTGTTCCATTGACCAAAGAGGGTGGAAATGACACTTTAATTTATCTTTGTTTTCTGAAAGAATTTATATTTAACATAAAACTGTTAAGAAAATTTCCTACTTTGCTAAAAATAATTGAATAATGTTGAGATTCTAGTTTTTAGATCACTAGGTTGATATAATTCTTAATCTCTAGTTTTTATCATGAAAAGTGTAATACCATGTTTGGTTAAGCTGATCTGCATTTTGTTCCTAATTGCTGCAAACAGTTCTAAGATGTGTTTCTTAGCATGTGGATGGCATATGATAATAGCTCATGGTATAGTTCCTTCTATATTTTAATATTAAAATTTTTAATAGTAGGGAAGTGCTTTTTCTGTTTCAGTATCAATTTTACAAATGCAAATATGTGAAAGTATTATTTTTCCATAGGGTTCTTTTTATTGAAATATATCCTTTATTATAGACACTAAAGTATTGGAGCCAGTCTGAACCCAGCTTGATGATATCCTTGATTCTTCTTAATAAAAGACAGAATTAGCTTACATAGCGCTGGCTCCCGCTGTGACAGATGAGGGTCTAGTTTTCACATAAATAGATGTGTTTAAAACCTAGCTAGTGGTAACGATAACCCTATATGCAAAACAGAAAAAGAGACACAGATGTACAGAACAGACTTTTAGACTCTGGGAGAAGGCGAGGGTGGGATGTTCAAAGAGAACAGCATTGAAACAAGTATACTATCAAGGGTGAAACAGATCACCAGCCCAGGTTGGATGCATGAGACAGGTGCTCAGGGCTGGTGCACTGGGAAGACCCAGAGGGATGGGATGGGGAGGGAGGTGGGAGGAGGGATCAGGATGGGGAATACATGTAAATCCATGGCTGATTCATGTCAATGTATGGCAAAAACTGCTACAATATTGTAAAGTAATTAGCCTCCAACTAATAAAAATAAATGGAAAAAAGAAAAAAAAAAACCTAGCTAGATGTGGAGATCTAGCTATGCTTATCATGAAAATGAGGGGGTTTAGATTTTTTTTTTAAGGGGTTTAGCTATTTCATCACAGGGTAGTATGTAGGTAGGGACTGCTCCTTTGTACCTAACCAGTTGTTCACATAACTTAATTATGCATTCAAAATAGCATGATTGAATTATTTATGTCCTGGCAGAGGGGGGAAAAAAAAAAGTACAATCTCCATATGCCAAGCTGATATCCTACCTATTAAGTTTAACTTTCCCCTGGTTGGTTTTCATTGCTGTGTGTTATCTGGGTAACAGATTCCATTCCTTTTTGTTATCTGGGCTAGACCCTCAAATAGGTAGTAACATGGTATAATGGAACAGCTTTGTCATGGTCAGTTGGACAAAGTTAGCGATTTCTCTGTCAGTTTTTTCATCTTTACAGCAAACAGGTAAGTCTAGAGTAGTAGTCTTTATAGGCCGTTTTTGCTTGTGTACATATTTTTTAGTCATAAATTTACATAAAATAAAAATGCATAGAACTTAAGCATTCAGTTTGGTGAATTTTGAAATGTAATTCTACACATTTAATCATATATAATTACCACCTTACCTGTTGGTCCTGCAACTACTTGATGTCCTCTGTCACCTAAAAGAATTTTAAACTATATATTATTCTCTTATGTATTCTTAAGTTCACACTGAGCATTTTTCATCCTGAATTTAAAAGGTCACACAGGATGTAATAGTTGACATAATGAAAGGAGTAACTTTTACAAATAGAATAGTTAAATCAGTTTCCTCATATATGGATCTGGGCACATCCAAATTAATAATATACACTTGTTAATAGTCTATAATTGATTAAAGCCATATATTTTATACAAAGTTTGATGAATAGTTATTTGATGTAAAAGCAAAATTGTTGGAAGTGCATCTTTCAATTAGAGACAGACTATTTTTCTCAATTATTTTATATGTCCCTGGATGAGTATTATGTTACATATTGAAACTGGATTCAGCATCTGTTCATGTTTTCCTTCTTATAGATGTAAGTGCTGAAGAACCTTGTTCACATAAATAGGTACATGAGTATGGAAAGAGTTTTATTACAGTAATATCACCAAATACCTTGAATGCCTTCTACATTATAGGCTTCAAAATCATATGATACTCTACTATCAAAATATCTTTTTTTAATGGTATCATAATTGTAAGAGGCCTAGATTGGTCCTTCCTTGAATTATTTTTGTAGCACTGATAATTTAGAAATAAATTATCTTGTAAAAGATTGTCTTAACTAGAACTTAGAATCAATTCATTTTTCCAACATGTAACATTATCTTTCAGTTTGGTTTGGTGATTTTTATACCCTAGGGGCATGCACCATTTTAATATTTCAAATGGAAGATGGGTTTAGGATTCTTTTTTTTTCTTTTTTTTAAGTATGAGAAGAACAGTTGTGGCAGGTGGTACTTTGACATAGCATAATCAGAGCAGTTTTTGGAAGGGTTATATGTGTGAATTGAAGATCTAAATATTGATTACCTTAAGATTATTTATGCCCTGTATGCCTTAGAAAATCTTTATGTATCCCTTGAGGAATATACATAGTCTGATTGAAGGCTGCTTGACTAGATGGTTTTGAAAATTTCTTCCAGCATTGTGATGCTAAATCCCAAGTAACATTCAAGATTTTGTGGTAGCCCTAGCGATGGTGATGAGAAATAGGAGATTAAATTTGAGATTATTGTTGTTTTTTTCCCATGATGTTGAAATAAAATGCCAAAGTCTTTTTTTTCTTCTTCTTCTTTCTTTCTTTTGGATTTTAAGGTTTCTAAACAGTGTGGATATTGTCCAAAATGTGGGAAAGAAAAAGAAAATCAGACCAAATGTCAAAGTTGTGGTGTTCCTTTTCCTAAGGATTTGCAAAGAAATTGCAGACAAGCTGTAACTTTGAATGACTCTGCTGGATTATCATTAAGAACATCAATTCATCAGAATTCTGGAGGACAGAAGTCACAAAACACAATATTACCAGCCAAGAAGTTTTATGGCAACAGTGTGGGAAAGATTCCAATTGATATTATTGTGAATTGTGATGAGAGTGGACAGAATTGTTTACATACTAATGGGAAAGTCATTTTATCTAGGGCAAAAGTAGCCAAAATCACAAACCTGAAAGAAAGGAAAACAAGCCTGTCAGACCTAAATGATCCAAGTAAGTATTTTACTCTCTTTAGTATTGCTTATATCAGTCTAATATTTTTCAAATATATTTTTAATGTGATTATGAGCATATTTCTGAAGTGTAGTTTTAAAAGGTTTTTTGTATCAGTTATATGACATGCTTTTTGGGTAGATTATTAAAACTGCCCATGTAATTGAAAAAAAATAACTGACTTTGTCCTTACCCTATCCATTTTAAGTAGTTAAAAAAAGAGCATAGATCTTGACCCTAGTCTTAGGTCAGTTGCCAGTTAGGACTGACTTTCTAACTTTGACCCAGTTGCTTAATCTCTCTGAACTCTTAAGTGGATATATTTCCTGCCTGATAGTGTTCTTGAGGGAGTAAATTTAAAAATAACATGAAGTGCCTAGCATAGCTCAATAAAGCATTTGACAAAAGAAAGGACTGTGAAAATTCATTCTCTTACTACTATTGTTCCTCCTCTAAATCCTTTTCCTGTCTTTAGTCACATGTACACATGTGTATGTATATGAAATGCAGTCCTTTTTGTAATAAATAGCATAAGATTGGAAACAGTCATAGACTGATTGAATAAACTTTAGGTGGCTGTAAAGGGGGGGAAACTTACTTAATATTGTATAGAATGATTTTTAAGCTATTTTATCAAATGAATAAAGCAAGGTGCAGATCAGAGTTTATAGTATGCTACTCTTTATTTGTGATGGGTAGGAGAATTTATATATCTTGTTGGTGGCTTGAACGCACAGAATTATCTCAAATTAATTTAAATTAAAATAATATTGTGGCTGTACATCCTTAATGTTTAAACAAAACTCCAGAGAAATCCTAACTGGATTCAGTAATTTTATTAATAATAATATTGCTGTTTTTAAGTACATATTGATAAAACAAGCCAGCAATTATATTACTGTCTCCAAAAACCTTGGAGAAAAGGAATACAAAAGCAAAACCAAAGAAGTAAAAATAACTATCTTCGTATTTGAATTGGAGATAATACTGGAACTTATTATATATCAGTATTTTCTATTGAATAGAAAGTATTTCTTAGCTTTACCCATAAAATAAGCCTGGAAACAGTAAGCAAACCTTGTATAAAAACAACTTGAGTTCCCGTATCCCGTATCTGTGTTTCTGAATACCATTTTCCACTAAAAATAATCAGAGCTCTTCAGAGAAATGGCTGACTCTGGAACTGGATCACAAATGTATAAGATAAATCTCAATCATTGAGTTGTATCAGGAAGCGTGGAAACAGTCACAAACAACTATGGTCATGTCAGAAGCACACAGCTAAAATGAAAAGGCTCCTCTCAGTGACCAAGACTGAATCTGCTTGGGCCACAAAAAGAACCATGACTACTATGTATTGAAATATGTTAAATATATCACAGTTACATAATGATAAACGCCTACTCTCTCACAGAGAGAAAAGCTCCACCTTATAAAAGGGATAAAATCAAGAAGTTTTTCAACCTCAAAAATATATCAAGTCCTATTTTAATTCAATGTGAGAAACCTTAACCTATACCAGTATATTAGGTTATTTTCCAAAAGAGCTTGATTTGTAAAGGAATTTCTGTATGATAGCTGTCAAGCCAACACTGTGTTATGATGTTATGAGAATGTCTATATTGAATATGAATATTTTATGATACATTTTAGTGTTATACCAATGCAATATTAAATATGTTAATATCATTTGACTCTTTCCTAATGGTGAGGTTGTTATGTAAAATTTTAACGTAAGATATCAATAGAACTCTATCACTTATTAGGCAATTAGTGGATATTATTCTGAACCAGACTTCCATCTTGGAATGATGGCATGACTCAGCATGCTGAGATTTCCAGGATGAGGGGAACTGGAAGTTAGTAAGACTGAGTTGGTAAGTAAAAAAAACAAAGTGAATCTATGTGGTTTTGAGGTACCTTAAGCAGTTTGCTATCTATAGCTTAACCTAGAATCATATCAACTATGAATTAAAACCATAAAGCATAAATTTGTTTCCCTCCCCTCCAGAAGAATTAAAAACCATGTTTCTCAGTAACGTATATGGAAAAAATGTTTTCTGTTTTAAGATATTTATTACATGTTTGTTGGTCCTGCTTTGTGATAAAAGTTTATGTACTAACCAGTTTAGTTTGGTTTTTGCAATCCTATGAAGTAGTTACTAATGCAACCCTATTCTGTAAATGAGGCAATCTATGCTTAAGGCTTCTCATTGTTATGTACATATGGGCTGTTGGAGATTAGATTTTTTTTTTAATGATTTTTCTGGTTTCAAAGTCTCTTTTGTTTATATACTTTATCATTCTTAAATTTGTGTTCCTATTAAAATGATTTATTATTACGAAGCTTTTGCCCTGTCCTTGGTGGTCAAATAACAAATAAAATGTACAGTGTCTCAAGTAGTGATAAATTCTGTGTAGAAAAGTGAAGCAGTTCTGGGAAATAGAGAGTGACAAGTGTCACAATGAAGAAGCTTGCAGTTTTAGATAGGTAGGTGGAAAAGTTACTTGATAAAGAAATTTTGAACACTGCCTGGAATGAGGTGAGAAAGAAGATAGCCTGATTTCTATGGGAACAAGTTTGGAATGTAAATGCAAAGACCTGTATTAGTCTGCTTAGGTTGCCATAACAGAATACCACAGACTGAGTGGGCTTAAATTTATTCTCTTGCAGTTCTGGATGCTGGAAGTCCAAGATTAAGTTGCCATCAGGATTAAGTTGCCATCTGGTGGAGGCCTCTCTTGCAGGCTTGCAGACAGCCACCTTCTTGCTCTGTCTTTACATGCCCTTCCTTTTTCCTTCACAGAGAAGGAGAGAGGTCTCTGGCGTCTCTTTTTCCTATGACACCAGTCCTATCAGATGAAGGCTTCACCTTTAAGACCATGCAACCTTTATTATCTCTATAGGCCCTGTTTCCACAAAAAGCCACGTTGGGGATTAGGGCTTCAGTATATGGACTTTAAAGGGACAGAATTTAGTTCATAGCAGACTCTGATGCAGAATCTTAGGTATATACTTACGTAGAATATATTCCATGTTTTGTAGAGAATTAAAGCAGTTATAAGAACAGCTCTTTAACTATTATCATCTTTACATAATCTCTCCCTGTTTGCTTTTACAGTGACATTGAGCACAACCCTCATTTACTTTAAATTAATAAAACAAGAACTATGTAGTGTAGTTCTATCTGTTGCAGCATTGGGGCTTTAAAATAGTTTTTGATAGTGCAGATACAGAAGTTTTAATGTTCCTGAAGCACAAAAAAATTTAGATTGAACCTAGGCTTACTGTTGAATATGTGCTTCTGTGTGCTTCTTCATAAACAATATAAGCAGTTCATGAATTTTTTAAAATCTTTTATACGTCAGGTATTATGTTAATAAATCTTTTGCACATTAAATCATTTGTTCCTAAGACTTTGTTGTCCCCTGTATCACAGAGGAGAAACTGAGGCAAATGACTAGTAAGTGGCAAGACCCTAACTTTCAAGTGTGTGTAAACTGACTTGAAAACTAGGGTCTTGGGCCTTCTAATCTGGCTTGTTACATTTTCTGTTAATATCATTTCTGAAAAACAACTTTAGCATTTGTTTTGAGACTGGATAGCAAAATTAAAATGATGAATGGTATGATCCTGGGGGTGATCCCTCTCTGGGACTTGTTATATGACTCAAATAATAACTAAGCATTTATGTTTATGATATATGATAGGGGAAAACAGATGTGTTGCTACAAGTTTTTATATTCTTCAACACATGACTTTTTTTTACCACATAGTATTTTGGATGCTGGGAATATTGCAGTAAACAAGGCAATATTCTTGTTCTTTATACTTTATTTTAGTGGGGAGAGACAAATGAGTAAGTGTATATCCACAGCAAAAGACAACAGAAATTTAAATTAGTTGATGTGAATAAACAAAGTATCTGTGTGCTTACTTTAGATTGGGTAGTTAATCACAAAGTGGTATTTAAACTAATTATTTGATGACAAAAGTGCAAAAGTGTTAGGAGAATTACAGTCAGATAGAAACAAGCTGGTGTTGGTGAAACAGAAAGAGGAAAAAATGAAGCAGTATGGGAAAGTAGCCTGGGTCCAAATTACATACATCTGTGAACCAGAGTAATGAGTTAGGATTTTGACTCAAGTGCAGTATGCTGGCTCTGCAGAATCTGATATAGAGATGAGTTTGAAAAGATTCAATAGTAAGTACATGGTATAAGAGCAAATTACCTTCATGTAATGTCTTACCCATGATCATTTACTCAACAAGATTTACTGCATATTAGGCATTGGTCCAGTAATTGTGGCTCAGCTGGTAAAAAATTCACCTGCAATGCAGGAGACCTGGGTTCGGTCCCTGGGTTTGGAAGATCCCCTGGAGAAGGGAAAGGCCACCCACTCCAGTATTCTTACCTAGAGAATTCCATGAACTGAATAGTCCATGGGATCACAAAGAATCAGACACTACTGAGTGACTTTCACTTTCAGGCACTGGTTCAGGTTCTCCCAAAGACTAGTAGTGATATTAGTGATTTCTTGTGTGAGATAAAAATTATTTGATCACATGCAGTCTTACAGACTTTTAAAATGCATGCTATTTTATGAATAATTTGTTTGCAGATTCTCTTCATACTTAAGACTTTCTGGAACTCTGAAATAGACCTAATGATAAACATGCAGTTTTTGTTGTAACTTGTGTATGTTTCTGTGTGGGTGATTGTGATGAATTGTACAACTAATTTTACATTTGTATGTTATTTTAAAAATGCCAGTTCTAATTGCTCTACAAATTTAAATTTTCATCAGATAGAATGGATTGTATCTTCATTTTTATTAATCTCAGATCAGGAGGAGATCTAAAGCAGATTTTGTATATTTCCAACTTTTGTCATGTACTTAACATTTTTAACTGACAAGAATGAAATACCTGAAGTACTTAACACTTTCTTTATAGTCATTTTGTCCAGTGATGATGATGATGATGATGACAATGACGGGACTAACAGAAGAGAAAGCGTCTCTCCTCAACCTGCTGATTCAGCGTGTTCTTCCCCAGCACCATCCACTGGAAAAGTAGAAGCAGCGCTAAATGAAAACATTTGTAGAATAGAGCATGAACTAAGAAGCATTCCAGCAGATTCAGAATTAAATACAGTTACCTTGCCAAGAAAAGCAAGAATGAAAGATCAGGTACTTTTCACATTTATTAACATTTATTCAAATTTCTCCTTTGATATGTAAATATTTGGGGGAGGATAATTTGGTGGTGTCAATAGGGAAAAATGAATTATTCATTAAATAGAACTTAAAATAACACTGGGAAGATTGTTGAAAGAACATTAAAGCATACACAAAAATATTTTTTAATTAAAGGCTTAAAGTATAAAAAATCGAACAAAAAGAAACATCATCAACCTTTAGTAAGCAAAATATAAGTGTAAAACATATATTTGTATAATCTAGTAGGCAGTAAGAGGTCATTTTAACTTGGGTATGTTTTATAATAGCATAATATTGTTTTAGTATATTTTATGTTTTACTGTAAAATTTTTAAAATATTCAGATGACAAAAGAAATTATGTCAACAATAGGTCTAGAAAGGAATATTTGTAATACAGGTAAACTACACTGATGTCTATAATAAACCAAGAACTTTTAAAAGTTAGAAAGAAAAATAAAATTTTAAAAAGATAGGAATAGACCAAAAGAAGAGAAATTCAGATAATAAATAAATAATAAATAAATAGATAAATTCTTTATAGGAAAAGTACATGTCAAAGAAAATGAAATATAACCATATACTTAACAAACTTTCACAAATAATGCAAAATCAGTTAACACATATATTGGCAAAAATCCAAGGTAAAGGGTACTTTCCTTATATGCTGATGAAAAAAAGGTAAGTTGTGGCCTTTGGAAAAAGAGTAAAAGCATCTACTAAAATATTTTAAATGTATACTGAATGACCAAGTAATTCATTCCCTAGACTCAAAGGAATCTTTAACCTCCAGTGCTTTGATTATACATATAAATATAATTATTAGCAAACAATCATTCTAATGATTGATATAGAAATTACATAGGGGCTTCGCTGGTGGCTCAGGAGTTAAAGTGTCTGCCTACAATGTGGGAAACCTGGGTTCGATCCCTGGGTTGGGAAGATCCCTTGGAGAAGGAAATGGCAACCTACTCCAGTATTCTTGCCTGGAGAATCCCATGGAGGGAGGAGCCTGGTAGGCTACAGTCCACGGGGTCGCAAAGAGTTGGACAGGACTGAGCAACTTCACTTTCACTTTCACAGAAATTACTGAAGAAACTATAGTATATATGTACCGTGGACTATTACACAGCCATTGTCAATGAAAATTGGAGCTGTATCAATGGCTTAGGATTTTCTACATGGCACTGTTTTGTGAGAATACCAAGACGTAGAAATTATGTGCATATTTTCTTATTTTTGTATAAAGAACCTAAAAAATAAATTTGTTTGTTAAAAAAGTTGTATGTACATATGTCAGGAATATGGAAAGTTGTAGATTAAAATATGGAAACAAACATATTTGATTGTTAAGATGGGATCAGTAAGAAATGGAAAACCAAAAGTAACTATAATAATAGAAAAAATATAGGTTGATATTTTTAGTGTAATTTTAGGAAATGCCTTTCCAAACATTTCAGCACAAGCAAAAGTAGTAAATGAAGAGATGAATGTATTTGTTTCAATGGAAAGTACAATACAGTGAACCAAAGCACCAGCCACAGAATTTAATAGGTAATGCAAATGGGAAAAAATAGTGAAATATGTGACAGAGTTATAAGTTGGTCCTTTACATAGTTTTGATTTCTTAAAAATCAAGAAATAGAAGTGTTAGATTGCTGGAAATTACCTAACTTACTATTGAGCGACATAACATCTCGTTTGAAGAAATAATTCTAAAGCTAAAAAAAGTTTTTAAACCTCTCTGATAGATATCTGTTCATAACCTGGGAAAATATTCATTTTAATGAAGATTCTGTTTTATTTTTTTGATGATAAGGATTTTAACATCTTTACTTTTAATTACATTTAATTTAAATATGTACTTACAAAGACACTTTTATGATTAATTTGCATTTGGGAATGACTGAAATCTTATTTTAACAGATAAAGTCATTTAATACTATTTAATATATAAAGAAGCATCATTTTATAGTGTAAATAACCATTTTCCTAAATTATCAGTTTTCTAAAGAGCTGCTAATTTAATCCAAATACAGCAACTACTACCACTCTTACTAGATAACTTTTATCCAGCATTTTACCATGCATGAAGCACAATGCTAAGCTGCTTATATGCATTAGCTAATTTGAGTAAATACTGTTACATTTTAGTTTAGGAAACCAAAATTTTTAGTTTAGAAGTTGTTATTAAGTTTTACAAGATCAGATCATTGAAAGGTAGTAAAACTGTGTTTTGAACCCAGGCTGTCTGATTCCTAAAGTACCATTTCTCACTGCTGGGCTGTTACTGGAGTTTCACCTAATAACTAGGTAAAGTAGCAAGATGAAACAGGAAGAGTTTAGTGTTACTGTTATAAAATTAATAAATACTCATCTAACACTGTTGAAGTAAAATCGATTTTATGTTTTGATAATTACATTTCTTCTGTTGGGTCTTCTTTGCTATGTCTACTTAGTTTTGCAGTCTTGCTTTAATAACTTACTAAGTGAAAATTTTTTTCCTTTTTCAGTTTGGTAATTCTATTATCACCACACCTCTAAAACGTCGCAAAGTGATTTCTCAAGAAACTTTAGTTGATCCTGTATCTTTAAGCTGCCAAAGCTCCTCGGATACCGTAGTTTTAAATTGTCGAAGTATACGAGTAGGAACACTCTTCCGACTATTAATAGAACCTGTAATTGTAAGTACACACTATGCTCTTTACTACCAATTATAAGATTCAGAATTTCGTGGCTAAGACTAATATATGTTAAAATTTATAAGTTAAAATATTTAATAGAATATTGCAATTATTTCAAGATTTAAAATTGCTTTAGGAATATATAGACATTTATAAATAGTTACTCACCATAAAAATTAGTGGGTAAAAGCTTTGTCATTATGTATTCCAATAAAATTTTTTTTTAAATTTTAGCAATATTCAAAGCTGTGCATAATTATTATAGGGAAATGTTTATTCTCACTGAGTTGGAATTCACTCCAGTGTGTTACCATTTTGTTCTCATGCCAGCTCAATGCATGAAAATAGTATTTTGAGGAAATTTATGAGAGAAGAATTCAAAAGCTTTGGGGTCTACAGAAAAATGTCTTGTGACATAGTGACTCCTAGAAATAGATTATTGGACTTTGGTGGCCGCCCAAGAGGCATTGTGCTTTTGAACTAGTCCAGTGTCCAGAGAACCCAAAGAACTTTCTTTAGTCCCTTTATCTTACCTATCATACCTGTCTCATTCTTATCTCCTAGCACCAGCCCAATTCAAATGTATATTTTCTATTTAAGATTGTAACATAATCTCCTTAATCTGCCTTCTAAGTCATTTTTTTTTCTTTCTGATGTATCCCATGCATTGTTGGTATGTTAATCTTCCAATAGCACTGTACTTATTTTGTAAACCTTCTTAACTCAGTGTCCTTAATTCTGTGTTTCCAACTATTTTTTAATGAATAGAGGTGGGTGTCATTCTTGGTATTGTAAAGGCCAGATGGACAAATGAAGTACATGGATCAGTTTTTCTGCCTTCTGTAGGCTAAGTCCCAAAAGCATGTCGTTTAGGGTCTCTGTAGCAAAATCTTCCCCAAAAATCTATGATTGTTACTAATTTATCTTATTTTTAGTTTTGTTTAGATTTTATCAAGATACAGCTAGAAGGTAAGCTGTTTTATGTCCTACTGCTCACTAAGCTTTGTTAACACTAAAACACTTTACTGGAATAAAAAATGTTATTTTTAGAATTCACTAAGATAATTAGGTATTACATGTATCATAACAAAGGGCATTATACCTTAAAGAGTGGAAATTTCATACTATAACATCCCAGAAGCTATGTTTAAGTTTTTAGGTATTCTTCATTAGAATTCTCTTTCCATCTGGGAAAAAATGTATTTAGATACTTCTTTAAGATCAAAGATTTTTCTTCATTTTCCCACTAGAGTTACCATGTACAGAATATAATAAATATGTGGGGGCTTCCCTTATGGCTCAGATAGTGAAGAATCTGCCTGCAATGCAGGAGACCTAGGTTCGATCCCTGAGTCAAGAAGATCCCTTGGAGAAGGGAATGGAATGGGTACCCACTCCACTATTCTTGCCTAGAAAATCCTTGGATATGTTAGTGTGGCAGGCTACAGTCCATGGCGTTTCAGAGTGGGACACAACCGAGCAACTAACACTCTCACTTTCAGTTTTTCATAATAAATATGTACTTTAAAATTGTAATTCCTTACAGTTTCCTCCTTCATGATTTTGCCCTCTTAAGAGTTGATCCCTTTTCCATTTCCATTTGTTTTTCTCCAGAACCAGAAAATGATCCTGTAGGGATTACTTTAAATACCTCTGATCTAACAAAATGTGAATGGTGTAATGTCCGAAAATTACCAGTAGTGTTTCTTCAGACTACACCGGCAGTTTATCAGAAGCTGAGCATGCAACTGCAGATGAACATGGAGGATAAAGTTTGGAATGACTGTAAAGGAGTAAATAAGTTAACAAGTAAGTTATGTAGAGCAAATGTACAATACATTGGTTAGCAGACTGTGAGTTGATATTGATAGATACCTTGGATATGTTTGTACTACCTACAATCTTGATAATGAGGTTATAAGGTGTTACTTCCCTCATTTTATAGAAGAGGAAAAGTCCATAGAAAATGGAAGTTCTGAAGATTAAACCCAGGTTTTGCCATTTGGAAAGTTTTCAAAATGGGTTGAAACCCCAAAATATATATAGTCTTTATTTAACACTGTATATAATCTGAGGGAAATGAGGTGTTTTGTTTTGTTTTAATGTACTGATAGAAGTTGTAACTATAAATCAGCCATCAAATTGCAATCTTTAAAACTTAGCCTAAATAGAAAGTTTGAAAGTTCATTAACAGGTCTTCATTTTCTACAAAATCAATGTGGTTCTCCAGTTTGTTTGTTTCCCTTTCCCGTAACATTTGTGGCATAGCATGACTAGTTGTAAAATACTTCTCAGTAATTGCTCCTTCAGCTTAATGATAAGTGATAAATAACTATGAAAGCTGCAAAAGTTGGCACATTAGTGAATATTGGTTTTTACAGTTAAATCTGGAGTTACTGCCAATTTACATGGCAGTTTCTTATATGTGTTTAATAGCAGTATTGACTGATGATATGTTTAAAACTCAATATATTTGGATCCTATTAGGTGAAATAAATTATTTACATCTATGAATAGATTCATTCTAGAGCTGCTGCTACGGTAATGTGTTCTGGTTCCTTTCTCAATTAACTTAGGTGACATTGTTAGGTGACAGTATTATTGGTCGTTACTTTGGTATTTATTATATATCCCCTGTATGCCAAACACTGTTTTGAACATTTATACCAGGATTTCTGGTGATGTTCTTGGATATAACTAGTTACTTTTTATTTTAGTATCTATTTACTTATTTTTTTCTTTTAAACTTATATTGATTTCTTTTCAGATTTGGAAGAACAATACATAATTCTAATTTTTCAAAATGGCCTTGATCCTCAGGCAAATATGCTATTTGAAAATATTATTACTGACATTGGTATAAAGAATAATGTGTCAAATTTTTTTGCGAAAATTCCCTTTGATGAAGCCAATAGCAGACTTGTTGCCTGTACAAGAACCTATGAAGAGAGCATCAAAGGAAGTTGTGTGCAAAAAGAAAACAAAATTAAAAATGTAATTATTTTTTAATGTAATTTTAAATGGTAACTTTAAAGGGAAATGTGTTTCATTATCATATTGCTTGTTTGGAGTTAGCTCTTTTTCCATTTCAGAATTATTTGCTTTTATATGTAATTTGTAAACTATATGGTGTCAAAACATTAATGGTGGTGGGTGATTTGTGACACAAAGAGTATTTGGTACAAGTCTCAGAAGTATTTTAGTTTCTTTCCACATTCTGTTCTTGTCTTTACTTTTTGTCTCCTTTTCTTTTTCTCTCATCCCTTTTTCCCCCCTCCCCCAACCCCCCCAGCATACATATACATACAGTGCTACATTCAAAGTGACTGGTATTCTAGTTCTTAAATTTGCTAGTGATTCCTATTGGTGACATTGGCTTCAATACAAATAAAGGAATTTTGGTCCCTGATGTATTGTACTTTTATGTGTAATATGTGCATACATGGTTGAAAATTTGGAAAGGAAGGATATAAACCTTTTGATTCTGATTCACCAGTTCTAGAATAACTGATTCTAGAATAATTGATCGTGTAGTAGGTAACTCTGAAGCCACCTGAATCAAAGGCGACAATACTACTATAACGTACAATATAGGTTAATCAGTAAAAATACAACTTATGTACTTGAAATTTGTTTCCTACTACAGCAACTGGAGTTTGCTGACCATTTGTTAACAATTTATTAGAAATACTTAAATGTTGCAGCCTGCCTACAAATTTGGAAATAGGTCTATCCAAGGCATAATATTGGTGAAGTTGATCAAGACTTCACCAGAAAAGAACTATTCACACAGTTAGTGGGTTGAAGAAAAGAACAGAAGGAGGAAGGGGAACCATTCCCCTTCTTTTGCAGAATTGGCTACAGGAAATAATTCCAGAGGAAGAAAAGAGCAGCTGGAGCCATAAGGCAGCTGTGATGGACTCAGATTTCAATGGAAGGCTCTTTCTTTAAGGACTCCTTGATTCTGGAGAACTGAAGCTCAATGGACTGTGTTCCCTGAGCCTCTGCTCCCATATTCCATGGATTTCCTAGGCACTGAACTTAGGTAGGCCTCCACTTGTAGAAGCAAAAACCACTATCTGTTCTTTGGATTTTACTAACATAATCTAATTTAATATGGATGGTAGAGATCTTAGACAAGATACCAGAAAACCAGTTACAAAAATTGGAAGTATCATTGTTCTAGAAGCTACAGATAAAAAGAAAGTGGACCCTAGTTTTGCCTGTTTCTTATTTTTTAATCCTTTTTAATTGAAAAGCATTCTTGCCTTTATCTTTCTGTTGAAATTTTTTCAAATTGATTTTGTGAACTGGTAATTTAATTTTCCTTACCAGGTGGCCCTTGAATCTAAAATACAACTTAAAAACAAACAAGAATTCCAATTTTTTGATGATGAGGAAGAAACTGGAGAGAACCATACCATCTTCATGGGTCCTGTAGAAAAGTGAGAGAATTCCTTTACATTTGCAACACTTAAATTTCTTCTCTGTTTTATTACATTTCAGTGTTATACAGACCTATTTTTGTTTTGTTTGCTTATTTTTTAAAATTTTGTTACAGATTGATAGTATATCCACCACCTCCAGCTAAGGGAGGCATCTCCGTTACTAATGAGGACCTGCATTGTCTAAGTGAAGGAGAATTTTTAAATGATGTTATTATAGACTTTTATTTGAAGTAAGTTAATTTTCTCCTAGCCTTTCAGCAAATTTTTAACACATCATAATGTATATGTTTGTTTTCTAGACTCAGAATTGTATTTTGAATTCCATCAATGCCACTTAACTGTGTGACATTTGGAAAGTAATGTCTCTGTATGTGTTTCTTCATTTTAAAAATGAGAATAATAGGAATGCAAGGGATTTCTGTATATTAATTTTATATCCTGTGACTTTACTGTATTCATTGACTAGCTTTAGTAATTTCTGATGGCATCTCTGGGCTTTCCTATGTAGAGGATCATGTCATCTGCATTGAGGGTTTTACTTTTCCATTTCCAGACTGGATTCCTTGTATTTCTTTTTCTTATCTAATTGCTGTGGCTAGGACTTCCAAAACTATGTTGAATGGTAGTGCTGGAGATGGTATGGAGGAAAGGGAACCCTCTTACACTGTTTGTGGGATTGCAAACTGGTACAGCCACTAAGGAGAAGAAGGTGGAGATTCCTTAAAAAACTGGGAACAGAACTGCTGTATGACCCAGCAGTCCCAGTGCTGGGCACATACCCTGAAGAAACCAGAATTGAAAGAGACACTGCACTTTCATTGTCAGACCCAGTGTTCATTGCAGCACTATTTACAATAGCTAGGACACAGAAGCAACCTAGATGTCCATCAGCAGATGAATGGATAAAGAAATTGTGGTACATATACATCATGGAATATTACTCAGCTATAAGAAGGAATGCATTTGAGTCAGTTCTAATGAAGTAGATGAACCTAGGGTCTATTTATTATACATAGTGAAGTAAGTCAGAAGGAGAAAAACAAATACCATATATTTAATGCATATATGGAATCTGGTGAATCTATCTGCAGGGCAGAAAGAGATGAATACTGTATATTAATGCATATACATGGAATTTAGAAAGATAGTACCAATGGATGATTCTACATGCAGGGCAGCAAAGGAGACACAGACGTAAAGAACAGACGTTTGAACTCAGTGGAAAAAGGAGAGGGTGGGATGATTTGAGAGAAAAGCTTTGAAACATATACATTACCCTGTGTAAAACAGATGTCCAGTGTGAGTTTGATGCATGGAGGGTACCCAAAGCTGGTGCTCTGTGACAACCTAGAGGGGTGGGGTGGGGAGGAATGTGCGAGGGAAGTTCAGGATGTGGGGGAAGCATGTATGCCCATGGCAAATTCATATTGATGTGTGGCAGAAACCATCACAATATTGTCAAGTAATTATCCTCAAAATAAATGAATTTTTTAAATGGGAATAATAGCTAAAAGAATCATGAGAAGATGTACATTTCAAGTGCTAGAAAAAATATCACATGCAAAGTTGTCATAAATAATAGCTTATTACATTGTTACTGTTAGAGTGTTTGGGGCTTCCTTGATGGCTCAGATGGTCAAGAACCTGCCTGAGTGCAGGAGACCCGGGTACGATCCCTGAGTCAGCAAGATCCCCTGAAGAAGGAAATGGCAACCCACTCCAGTATTCTTGCCTGGAAGATTCCATGGACTAAGAAGCCTGGTGGGCTACAGTCCATGGAGTCTCAATGAGTCAGATGACTGAATGACTGAGCACACATACACACTGTGTTAGAAGTTCATGATTTTATAGGGAATACAAATATGGAATTAAAGTATTGACAGAAGCACTAACATGGTACAAATACAGCAGAAAAAGAAAGCATCATTCTCTTTGAGGGTTGAGAAATGAAGAATCAAGAAGCTTTCCTCGAAGGGCCTACATCATGATCTGGAGTACACATACATAGCATGTATGTGTGGTGTGTTTATATATGTATAAACCGTATGTGTTTACTGCTTTGTGCTGTAAGATGAATGTGTCTGTGAAACAAAACAACGTTTAGTGTGTCTAGTGCTCTCCAATATGCTTTGTTTATTCCAATGTATATTTTTTTAAAAAACTGGTTGTCAAAAGCCACTGGATTGATTTTTATAGCCCATGATTGCAGCCCACACTTTGGGAAAAGACAGCATTATTATTCACAATGAAAGATTTTGATCAGAAAAGTGACATATAATTGTTTCCTTAAGGTCATTTTGACAAGCAGGTTCATTGTGAATGTCTAGATGAGAGATGATTGAAGGAAATTTAATTAAGGTGATAGAAGAAGCCTAGTTAAGGCAATTGCTGCAGTGAAGAAGAATGAAAGAAGAAATAATGAAATGTTTTAAGGGGTAGAGTTGTTTAGCAGAAGTCCTGGACTGATCGACTGCATATTAAGAAGATAAATACATAGATGTCAAATAACTCCTAGTTTTCTTACTAGTAAGATGTCCAAATGATTTTGCCACTAACTGAACTGTGATATGACAAAAGGGAGAGTGTCAATAAGCAATTGTATATATGATTATAGAGGTCAGTTGAGTTCTGACCTAGAGACACATAGAGATAGAAGGCTTTACAGATAGTAGTTTAATTAGGAGAATGGATGAAATTACACAGTGAGGGATATAGAATGAGAAAAAGAGCTATAAGAGGACAAACCCTGCAGAGTAGATTTTAAGAGAGAGACAGCGAGTAAGGAGACAATAGATTCTGAAAGTATTTGAGAGGTAATTTTAAAATACAGATTTGCTTGCAAGAGAAACTGTCCTAGATTTTAAATGCCTACGTTTGCATATGTAGATTCTTTTGAAACCTCATACATATTCAAGGACAAGTTCAAAGTTCTTTATAACTAAAGTAATGGATATTATTTCATAAAAATACCCAACAAAGCATATGAAAAGATCTTCAATGTTATTAAATCATCAGAGAAATGAACATCAAAACCACAGTGAGGTCTCACCTCACACCCATTAAGTAGGATGGCTGCTTTATTAAAAAAAAATCCCCCAAAATAACAAGTATAGAAGAGAATGTGAACAAGTTCCAGCCGTTGTACACAGCTGGTTGGAGTGTAAGATGGAACAGCCTCTGCAGAAGATAGTGTTGCGTTTCCTCAAGAAACTGAAAATAGAACTGCCGTTTGATCTATCAACCCTACTTCCGGATATACAAAAGAATTGAAAGTAGAGCTATTTTAGAGATAATTGCATACCCATGTTCATAGTAGCACTGTTCATAATAGCTAAGAAGTGGAAGCAGCACATATATCTATTGATGGATGAGGTTATAAACAAAATGTGATATATATATATATATATATATATATATATATATATAATGGACTATTATTCACTCTTATAAAGGAAGGAAACCCTTTGCATGCTACAACATGGATGAACCTGAACACGTTATACAGTGTGAAATGAGACATTCACAAAAAGACAAACACTGTATGAATCCACTTACATGAGGATCTGAAGTAGTCAAATTCATAGAAAAGCAAAGAACTGATTACCTAGGGCTGCAGAGCAAGGGCAAAGGGAGTTACTGTTTAATGGATACAGAGTTTTGGTTTTGCAAAATAAAGTTTTGGAGATTCTTTCACACAGTATGAATATACTTAACATTATTGAATTGTATGCTTAAAAATGGTTAAGATTGTAAACTGTTCTGCATTTTTTCCATAATTTTTCAAAAAATGTTATGTCTTAATACTAGTGTATACTACCTTAAGAAACCAAGCAACTGCAAAATCTTAAGCGATTGTCTAGAACAGTGCTGCTGTTACTGGATAAAGTATTCTAAGAATGCCAGCTAGGTCAAGTTGCTTGACAGTACTATTCATATCATCTTTGTCCTTACTGATTTTATACCTGCTTTTTCTGTCAATTCCTGAGAAAGTCATTAATCTCCAACTATAATTATTGACTTGTCTATTTCTCCTTAATGTATTGTGAAGCTCTTTTGTTAGCTACATACATGTTAATGTCTTCTTGGAGAATCAAGCCTCTTATCATTGCATAATGTTCCTTTTTATTCCTGATAATCTCCTTGTTTTTAATCCTACTTTGTTCAAAATTAATATAGCTACTCCACCTCTTTTTTGGTTCATGTTTGCATGATATATGTCTCTTCATCCTTTTACTTTTAACCTATTTAAGTCTTTATGTTTAAAAAATTCTTCCTGAAAGCATATAGATGGATCTAAAAAATAAGTTCCTATATTTTGTTTATATTTTAGTTTATTGCATTTCATACTAGTCTACACTTTTTACATTAGAGATTTTATAGTCATTTTTATTCTTTTGAAATTCTTTATATATTTTCAGTAGGCCTCTTGACATCATATAGTTAAACTTTAAAGCAAATTTTATACAATGAACTTACATTATCTACAAGTTCTGCCTTTTCTCATGCAAATCACTATTCCAAATAATCTAACAAAATGTATGATTTTTTAAAAATCTGCATTTATATTTGTCTCATGATTTTTAGAAGCGAGTTAAGAAACTTTTTCAAATTTCACTATTAAAATAAGTAATTCAGTTGCCACCAGAGCTGCTCATCCTTTTCCATTTCTACCTCTACAAGTTAGAAGCAAACCTTTAAACAATTTGCCATACTTATAAGAGGTAGAAGGGCATTGTATCTAGAGAATGTTAGTAAAATACAGAAGGAAAGATCTTTTTTAACTTCATCCTATAATTAAATTTCATAATTAAATTATTAGATTGTCCACTTTCTAAAATAACAGGTGCACAACTTCATGACTTTAAATATTTAAATGATTTATACACTGAAAACAAATTCCAAGATGAAAGAAATTCCTGTTTTTTTGTGATAAACTTGGATTTCCCTTTAATTCTAGAATAAGAAACAGCTATTCAAGTTGAAAATAATTCTAATACATGTACATGAAAAACCCAGAACTATATATAGTCACAGAAATATTAATACTTATGGATGTATATCAGATTAGAGAGACAGAACTAGTTACCTTAAAAGGCTTTTTGAAGTTTTGTTTTTTCACTTTTATGTCCTTAATTCCTCTAGGATTTGTTTTTATGCATGGTATCAGATGGAGACTTAATTTCATGTTTTTCAGTATGGGCAAATAATTGCCCTGGTATTATTTGTGAAGCAGTTCATTCTCTCCCCACTCATGTGAAATCCTGCCTTAGTCACACACTAAGATAACAGTGGCACAGATCTGTTTTCAGGGCTCTGTAGTCTGTTCCACTGGCCGTGTACCTATCCCTGCATCAGTCCCACACTGAGGTGATTACTGCTTCTTTATTCTTGTTATCTAAAAAGGCAATATTCTTCACAAATGTTTTGGATATGCTTGACCTTCTTAATTCTCTCAGATAAATTTTAGTATCAGCCCATTGAATACAATTTTTAAAATCCTTTTGAGATTTTGATTGTAATTGCACTGAATCAGTTATTCTCAACTAGAGGCAGTTTGGCCCCAGGGGATGTTTGACAATGTCTGTGGGCATTTTTGGTTCTCACAAAAGGAAAGGATGTAATCTAATAGCATCTAGTGGGTAGAGACCAGAGATGATGCTAAACACAGTACACTGCACAGGACAATCCCAGCAACAAAGAATTATCTGGCTTAAAATGTCAATGGTGCCAAGCTTGAGGAGCCTGCCACTAAATTTATGCAATTTGGAGATGACTGATACTTATATTTTTGAGTATTTCAGTAAAAATATGTTCTGATCTTATAGCCAGCCATCTTGCTAAAACTTATTTCTAATATGTCTATAGAGCTTTCTTAAGTTTTCTGTATGAAAATCCTTTCATCTTTAAATAAATTTATTTTGTCCATTTGCAAAAATAAAGCATGGATCTGTTTATATATGAAGTATAGTCCCTTTTCTTAAATCACCAAATCCCATTGTTCATTCAGTTCAGTTTACAAAGGAACCATTGTCATTTGTAGTGGTAAAGCAGCATGGTTCACCCATTATAGTTACAATTTGTAAGTTCAAGTCTAATTCACTACATGCTATGTTTTAAATATAAGATGTAGAATTCAGCAGTTGATTTAAACTGTGTCATGAGCTGAATCACTGTCTTACATCTTTTGTGGGGGCACACTGAGTTGCCCTAAAGTAAGAAATCTGTAAGTTATGTCCTTTTTGAGCTTTAGGATTATTGAATATTATGATTAAAGTGACAGGTCTCAAAGGTGTGCCCTGTGGGTACTTCCTGTTTCTGTGCAAGATTTCACAAGGCTTTCATATGAGCCTCATTTTAATAAGATGAAAGTGGCCATAAGCTTGACTTTGCATAGCTCCTTTGAGGGAGTTTAGGATATACACAGTTAAATTTAATGTATCATAATTTGTCTTTGTAACTTAAAGGACCATGGCTATTTGTTTTAATAGACCTACCTTCAGGAAAAAAACAAAGCAGGGAAAAATTAGAACTGATGTAAGATCACTTTAAAGATTAGTCATTGTTACAACCTCACCACTGTACAGGTACTTTCTGTTTCTGTTTTTATAAAAAGTAGTCTATGGCTAGGTCATCATGGTTTATTAAGTGTTTAAAACAAAATAATACATAAAGATAGCAGCTTTATTAAGACATAGTGCACATACCATACAAATCACACATTTTAAGTGTATAATTCCAGTGGTTTTTAGTATGTTCAGTTTTGAAGCCACCACCATAATTAATACGAGAACATTTTCATCCCTTACAGAATTCAGTACCCATTAGGAGTGACTCCCCATTTCCTTCGAACCTTACTCGCAGCTCTGGCAACCACCAGTCTCCTCACTATGTCTATGGATTTGCATATTCTGAACATTTCATATACATGGAATCATACAATATGTGCTTTTCTGTGACTATCTTCTTTCACTTAGCATAACATTTTCAAGGTTCCTTTTATGAAACTACGTGCGTCACTTCATCTCTTTTTATTGCTGTGTAATTTTCTATTGTATGGTTATACCACATTTTCCACTCATTGACTCATGAGCATTTTAATCATTTCTGTTTGTTGGCTTTGATAAAGTTGATGTGAATGTTCATAAATATGCCCTTGTTTAAAAAAATTAGACCTTTCAAGTTCTAATTTTACTCTCAAATATCATGTTTTATTACTTACAAATAATCAGATAGTAATCATTGTCTAGAATATGAAATAAACTTTGTTTATAACTGTCTTTCGGTTTAAAGGAATGGAGATTGTTGGTGAAGGTATTTGTTCGCTCTATTTTTAGTACACAAACTTAAATTCATTCTGTTTGGAATTGCTTTTTATAAAACAGGTATTTGGTGCTTGAAAAATTGAAGAAAGAAGAAGCTGACCGAATTCATATATTCAGTTCTTTTTTCTATAAACGCCTTAATCAAAGGGAGAGGAGAAATCTTCATGAAACAACTAATCTATCGTAAGTCAAGCTTTTTTAAAATATTTAATACATGTAGTAGGTCACTTAAATTTAACTTAGGAAAAAATCACTTGTTTATATTAAGCAACTTTTTTCCTCCTATTCTCAGTTAGCAAAATTTATATAGCTTATAATATTTAAAACCCAAAGAATACCTGGGATTTTTAAAGGTTTTAGATCTAATATGTCGATCAGTGTTTTCCAAATATATCTGAAAGTTTAAAAAAGGAAAATTACTTAAATACTTATTAAATCTTGAAAGTTATTAAGTACCAATCACTCTTTTACCCTGCATGTTCCATCTGTAGTATCTAACAGTGGAACCTGTGAATCTGTAATATTAATAAGTTCTTTGGATAATAATTCTCAGACAAGTTAAGGGAACAGTATTCTACATATGATCCCTGAGTTATTTATAATGCCTTTCCATATAGTGAGTGCATCCAGCTCTAATACTTGCTGGTAATTGGTTAGAAGATACACACAGAGAGTCCATTTTTGTTATCAGTGCTATTAAGTGTCTTGAATTGATGGCTGTTGTGTACAATATAAATAAATTTTCTACTATTTCAGTGATGTCTAATTTTGTATCTTAGAGTTTATGGTGAAAGAAAGAAAGTGAAAGTCGCTCAGTAGTGTCCGACTCTTTGTGACCCCATGGACTATACAGTCCATGAAATTCTCCAGGCCAGAATACTGGAGTAGGTAGCCTTTCCCTTCTCCAGTGGATCTTCCCAACCCAGGTCTCTTGCATTGCAGGTGAATTCTTTACCACCTGAGCCACCAGGGAAGCCCAAGAATCCTGAAGTGGGTAGCCTATCCCTTCTCCAGGGGAACTTCCCGACCCAGGAATTGAACCTGGGTCTCCTGCACTGCAGGCAAATTCTTTACCAGCAGAGCTATCAGGGAAGCCCAGAGTTGATGGTAGTGGTTGGTTTTGACCAGTGCTGATAATCTGTCCTGTTTTATCTACTGTAAAATAGTATTCACTTTCCCTGCTCTCTTCACCTTAGTTCTTATAGGTCACAGGCTGATACGCACTCAGTACTTATGCTAAAACCAGTTCCGCAACAGTAAGCACCCTAGTAAGTAATGGTAGAAATTAAAGAATCTCTTTCTTCCAGATTCATTGATGGTCAGTTTCACATCTTCCCAGCTCCATCTCAGATATTCTGCTTTCTTTTCACATCTTGTTAAATCCTCTTATACAGCTGTTTGATCTGTTGGCATCTTAATCTCTGTAATGTATAAATTGCTGCATATAGGCTGACAACACTGGAAACATTTCAGAAGCTTGATAGTTTCCCTCTTGTGTTACAGAATACAGCAGAAGCGACATGGAAGAGTAAAAACATGGACCCGGCATGTAGATATTTTTGAGAAGGATTTTATTTTTGTACCCCTTAATGAAGCGTGAGTAACAATTTCCTTTATGTAAATGTGATGGCAACTTTTAGAAAATATGTTTATGAGGTGAATAATTCATCCAGTTTTAAACTTCTTTCTGAAATTTGTTGTATATGTTGATACTTAAACTCCTTATTTTATGGAAATTAATATACTTTTTAAGTGAATCATGTAAGCTATGTAATTTTACAAGCACTCAAGAAATCTTCCTAATTTCATTTTATTCATTGATATAGAATAATGTCATCTTTTAAAAATGGTGCTCATGGTCTAGCAGACATCCTATAGAAAAGACTACCTTGTACGGAATGGTGATTAGGTCACACAGAAGAATTTGGATTTTTAGTTTATAAAATACACTTCGACTTATCCAAAATGAAGAGAAGGTGGCTGGATTTATGTCATTTGCTCACTGAAAACCATGTTTACTACCTGAAGCTATTTCCTAAGTAAATAGAGGTGGTAAACATTTTATGTTAATTTCTCACCCAGTGACTAGAGAGGCATAGATGTATAGGTTAGTATTATTACACAATTTAAACTTGAGAGTTTCTGTATTTCATTTTCTACCTGTCCTGCCCTCCAGCCAAAGACCTCCAGGAATACTCTCATAATTGGGCAGCATGGGTTTAGTACTTACATTAAGGGGGAACATACACCATGGCTGACCATGACTCCTCTAAGTAAAAATGTGTTTGCAAGAGGCAGTACAGAATTCAGGCTTTGTTTTGGTGGTTTGAAGGAAGGTCTAAGGAAGCAGTGGTTTGTTTGGATGAAGAAGTCAGTCAGCTCAGTCTCCCAGTCGTGTCCGACTCTTTGAGACCTCGTGCACTGAAGCACGCCAGGCCTCCTGTCGATCAACAACTCTCAGAGTTTACTCAAACTCATGTCCATTGAGTCAGTGATGCCATCCAACCATCTCATCCTCTGTCGTCCCATCCTCCTCCCGCCTTCAATCTTTCCCAACATCAGGTCTTTTCCAGTGAGTGAGCTCTTCGCATCATGTGGCCAAAATATTGGAGTTTCAGCTTCAACATCAGTCCTTCCAATGAATATTTAGGACTGGTTTCTTTTAGGATGGACTGTTTGGATCTCCTTGCAGTCCAAGAGACTCTCAAGAAGCATCTCAAAAGCATCAATTCTTTGGTGCTCAGCGTTCTTTATAGTCCAACTCTCACATCCATACATGACTACTGGAAAAACCATAGCTTTGACTAGATGGACCTTTGTTGGTAAAGTAATGTCTCTGCTTTTTAATTGCTGTCTAGGTTGGTCATAACTTTTCTTCCAAGGAGCAAGCATCTTTTTATTTCATTGCTGCAATCACCATCTGCAGTGATTTTGGAGCCCCAGAAAATAAAGTCTTATCACTGTTTCCATTGTTTCCCCATCTATTTGCCATGAAGTGATGGGACCAGATGCCGTGATCTTAGTTTTTTGAGTGTTGAGTTTTAAGCCAACTTTTTCACTCTTCTCTTTCACTTTCCTCAAGAGACTCTTTAGTTCTTCTTTGCTTTCTGCCATAAAGGTGTTGTCATCTGCTTATCTGAGGTTATTTATATTTCTCCCGGCAATCTTGATTCCAGCTTGAGCTTCATCCAGCCCAGCGATTCTCATGATGTACTCTGCATATAAGTTAAAATAAGCAGAGTGACAATATACAACCTTGACGTACTCCTTTCCCTATTTGGAACCAGTCTTTATGTCCAGTTCTAACTGTTGCTTCCTGATCTGCATACAGATTTCTCAAGAGGCAGGTCAGGTGGTCTGATAATTTTTCCACAGTTTGTTGTGATCCACAGAGTCAAAGGCTTTGGGACAGTCAATAAAGCAGAAGTAGATGTTTTTCTGGAGCTCTTGCTTTTTCGATGATCCATCGGATGTTGGCAATTTGATCTCTGGTTCCTCTGCCTTTTCTAAATCCAGCTTGAACATCTGGAAGTTCACGGTTCATGTACTCTTGAAGCCTGGCTTGGAGAATTTTGAACATTTCTTTCCTAGTGTGCGAGATGAGTGCAATTGTACAGTAGTTTGAGCATTCTTTGGCATTGCCTTTCTTTGGGATTGGAATAAAAACTGACCTTTTCCAGTCCTGTGGGCACTGCTGAGTTTTCCAAATTTGCTGGCATATTGAGTGCAGCACTTTCACAGCATCATCTTTTAGGTTTTGTAATAGTGCAACTGGAATTCCATCACCTCCACTAGCTTTGTTCATAGTGATGATTCTTAAGGCCCACTTTACTTCACATTCCAGGATGTCTGGCTCTAGGTGAGTGATCACACCATCGTGATTATCTGGGTTGTGAAGATCTTTTTTGTACAGTTCTTCTGTGTATTCTTGCCACCTCTTCTTAATATCTTCTGCTTCTGTTAGGTCCATACCATTTCTGTCCTTTATTGTGCCCATCTTTGCATGAATGTTCCCTTGGTATCTCTGATTTTCTTGAAGAGATCTCTAGTCTTTCACATTCTATTGTTTTGCTCTTATTTTTTTATTGATCACTGAGGAAGGCTTTCTTATCTCTCCTTGCTATTCTTTGGAACTCTACATTCAAATGGGAATATCTTTTCTTTTCTCCTTTGCCTTTCACTTCTCTTCTTTTCACAGCTATTTGTAAGGGCTCCTCAGACAACCATTTTGCCTTTCTGCATTTATTTTCCTTGGGGATGGTCTTGATCCCTGTCTCTTGTACAATGTCATGATCCTCCATCCATAGTTCTTCAGGCACTCTGTCTAACAAATAATCCCTTGAATCTATTTGTCACTTCCAGTGTATAATCATAAGGGATTTGATTTAGGTCTAGTGGTTTCCCCACTTTCTTCAATTTAAGTTCAAATTTGGCAATAAGGAGTTCATGATCTGAGCCATAGTCAGCTCCCAGTCTTGTTTTTGCTGACTGTATAGAGCTTCTCCATCTTTGGCTGCAAAGAATATAGTCAATCTGATTTAAGTATTGACCACCTGGTGATGTCCGTGTGTAGAGTCTTCTCTTGTGTTGTTGGAAGAGGGTATTTGCTATGACCAGTTCATTCTCTTGGCAGAACTCTTATTAGCTTTTGCTCTACTTCATTCTGTACTCCAAGGCCAAATTTGCCTGTTACTCCAGGCATCTCTTGACATCTTACTTTTGCATTCTAGTCCCCCATAATGAAAAGGACATCTTTTTTGGGTATTAGTTCTTGAAGGTCTTGCAGGTCTTCATAGAACTGTTCAACTTCTTCAGCATTACTGGTCGGGGTATAGACTTGGATTACTGTGATATTGAACAGTTTGCCTTGGAAATGAACAGAGATCATTCTGTAGTTTTTGAGATTGCATCCAAGTACTGCATTTCAGACTCTTTTGTTGTCTATGATGGCTACTTCATTTCTTCTGAGGATTCTTGCCCACAGTAGTAGATATAATGATCATGTGAGTTAAATTCACCCATTACAGTCCATTTTAGTTTGTTGATTCCTAAAGTGTCGATGTTCACTCTTGCCATCTCCTGTTTGACCACTTCCAATTTGCCTTGATTCATGGACCTAACCGTCCAGGTTCTAATGCAGTATTTCTCTTTATAGCTTCGGGGTTTACTTCCATCACCAGTCACATCCACAACTGGATGTTGTTTTTGCTTTGGCTGCGTCTCTTCATTCTTTCCAGAATTATTTCTCCATTGATCTCCTGTAGCATATTGGGCACCTACCGACCTGGGGAGTTCATCTTTCAGTGTCCTATCATTTTGCCTTTTCATACCGTTCATGGGGTTCTCAAGGAAAGAATACTGAAGTGGTTTGCCATTCCCTTCTGCAGTGGACCATGTTTTGTCAAAACTCTCCACCATGACCCATCTGTCTTGGGTGACCCTACTCGGCATGGTTCATAGTTTCACTGAGTTAGACATGGCTGTGGTCCATGTGATTAGATTGGTTAGTTTTCTGTGATTGTGGTTTTCAGTCTGTGTGTCCTCTGATGGAGAAGGATAAGAGGCTAATGGAAGCTTCCTGATGGGAGAGACTGACTGATGGGGAAACAGGGTCTTGTTCTGTTGGGCGGGGCCATACTCAGTAAATCTTTATTCCAATTTTCTATTGCTGGGTGGGGCTGTGTTCCCTCCCTGTTATTTACCTAGGGCCACACTTTGGTGGAGGTAATGATGATAATGGCGACCTCCTTCAAAAGGTCCCATGCCCGTACTGCTACACTCAGTGCCCCCAACCCTGCAGCAGGCCACCCCTGACCCATGCCTCTGCCAGAGACTCCTGGAGACTCACGGGCAGGTCCGGGCTGCTCTTGTGGGGTCACTGTTCCTTTCTTCTGGGTCCTGGTGTGCACACAGTTCTGTTTGTGCCCTCCAAGAGTCTGTTTCCCCTGTCCTGTGTAAGTTCTGGTGGCTCTATGGTGGGGTTAATGGCGGCCTTCTCCAAGGAGGGCTTATGTAACACCCAGGTCTGCTGCACCCAGAGCCCCTGCCCCTGTGGCAGGCCACTGCTTACCTGTACCTCTGCAGGAAACACTCAAACACAGTTCTGTCTCAGTCTCTGTGGGGTCTCTGGGTCCTGGTGTACACAAGGTAGGTTTGAGCCCTCTGAGCGTCTCTTGTGGGTATGGGGTTTGATTCTAAAGGTGATTTCACCTACCATCTTGCTGGGGCTTCTCCTTTGCCCTTGGACATGGGGTATCTCCTCACAGCCACTCCAGCAGCACGCATTCACTCATTTAGCAAAAAGATATTTGGTATTTTGAAAGGTTGCATTGTGACCTTATATTTGTCTCTGCTAAGACAATTATGAAATGACCTTGCTTTGTCTCATTTCTATCATGGTTGCAGAGTAACTTTGTCTGAGGTTGGTGTTCTGTAAGATTTTTAATGTCTAATAAGCCTGTCTGTGCCAGGCTAGCTTCTGAATGTTCTCTTTTTCTCACTATAAAAAAACATTTACTCTGTAGTATAGTCAGATTCTTTCATTTAAAATCATGCTTTAATTATAACACCTTTTATGATCTCTAATTAGCCCAGCCAAAGATAGGTAGATTAGGTTAAAACTAGACTGGTTATGACTGTAAAGCCCAACCTCTTCAAAATGATTTGAGTCAAACACAGTATCATAGTATCAGTAAAATTTAAAACTAAGTTTAAAGCTGATCTTTATAATTTCTTCATTTTCCTCAAAATTATATTTCTTGACATTAATTTGTCATATCAAGTAGCAAATGAGCTGCCCACTTGGTAAAAGGGAGGGATATACATGGGAAGCCATTTGTCAGAAATTAATTATAAAAATTTAAAATAACAATATAATTGGAGGCAAATATGATTTAGTTATAGAGGTAAATCCTTAGTCACAGCATCTGATGTGGATGGACGCTATGTTTAGTGCTTTGTGTCATCTTGGTTGTCTTGGTGAAAGGTAGAGAGTGAATTAGTTGTGTTCTGCAGGATAACTGCTGTTTGTAGGTGGAAGAGTAACCTCCAGATAATGAGGGCTTTTTTTTTTTAAAAGATAAAACTAACTAGATAGGCTGCCCTGTATTTGTCATCTATTTTAATTTTCCTGGTGGTCGTAATTTCTTTAAGCTATAAGTTGATAAGCTATTTGTTTAAAATTGTAGTAATTGACAAGGAGCAGAAATTTGATATTTGGACCTAAATCAAACATCAAATTAAACTAAGTGAAATTGCCTGTTTTAGCCATGTGTCCCACTAATGGCTTAAGGTCAAGGTATCTGCCATTAAAAGGGATCATAAAAGCAAAACTCTGGCTCTTAGAGGTTGAAAGTGAGGTCAGGTGTATCCAATTCAGCTTTCTCTTTACAGCTAGGTGAAGGAAGATTTTTTTCCTCAAGTTATTAGATGAGGCAACAGAAAAACTATGGCTCATCCATATTGTCATAGCTGAAAAATGTTTATAACTGTGATAGACTTTGGTTTCAGCTGTAGGTTGAGAATCACTATGCTATACCACTTTTAATCAACTTTTAAAGTACATTTTTTCACTTTATAACCTTTCTGAAGTTGAGATGTGACTTAGTGTCAGCTGTGTCTTTGGGTTGATGAAGTGAGGAAGATGGTGTTCACTCTTCTCCCAGCCTGGCCTGACCGAAGTCCATATGGTCCTGAGGATTATTAATGAAGAAGAGGAGAGAAGCATTTCTCCATCTGGATTTTCAGTACTGAGGATGAAGGCAGCCTCTGTGAACTTTTCTACTTGTTGTGTCTAATGAAGAGACATACAGTGCTTCTTAGTATTACCTTGAGAGGATTTAATATTTTGCATAAATAGAACATGCAATAACTTCTGTCTGGGTCAGCATTCATTTTTCATACAGCCAATATCTACTGAACACCATACTCTATGACAAATATTGCACTCAGCTAATAAATTTAATAAATTATCTGACATCTTTAGCCTGTTCATTGGAGTGGGTTTCCATTCCCTTCTCCAGAGAATCTTCCCAACCCAGGGATCAAACCTGGTTCTCCTGTATTACAGGCAGATTGTTTACTGTCTGAGCCACCAGGTTCAGTGTTAATGTGACTCTTTCACATAACACTGTGCCGAGCAAATAGTAAACCCTTAATAAAATTAATTAGATTAATGAAAATTAGCCACTTTTAGCTGTATAGCTTCTTACTCATAGCTTATATCCTACTGTCAGGAACTATGATGATACCTGAATTCAACTCTAGCTGGAATCCTACTGATACTTCTGTACTGATAATTAGACTAGATACATTATTTCAATTTAGTATATTTTATTTAAGTAGAGTATGAGATAAGAATAATATTTTCAGTATTAAGAAATCCCTACCTTATTAATTCCTAATAAGTTTTATTAGCAGCTATTAATACCTAATATTAATACTTAATAATACCTAGTTAATATTAACCAAGCTTCCCTGATAGATTATTTGGCAAAGAGTCTGCCTGCAACGCAGGAGACTCTGGTTCGATTCCTGGGTTGGGAAGATCCTCTGGAGAAGGGATAGGCTACGCACTCCAGTATTCTTGGGCTTCCCTTGTGGCTCAGCTGGTAAAAGAATCCTGCAATGCATGAGACTTAGATTCGATCCCTGGGTTGGGAAGATCCCCTACAGAAGGGAAAGACTACCCACTCAAGCATTCTGGCCTTGAGAATTCCATGGACTATATAGTCCATGGGGTCGCAAAGAGTCGGACACAACTGAGCAACTTTCACTCAGTCACTCACCTTATTAATAAGAAAAACACAGATGAAAAGTTTTTTAAAAACTATTACATACAATATTTAGAAATTGTTCAAACTTATAAAGTCTAATTAATTAGTTAGGCTTCAGAAGATATTTTAATGTTGCTGGTTTATTACCCTTGGCATAAATAGAACAAAGGAAAGGTAAATGGTAATGATGAATTGCGGTGATGTAATTTACATTTTGTTAAATTGCCTGGAAAACGATGAATTTTTCATTCCAAAAACAAATTGTTCAAAGGATTGTTTGCAAAAGTGAATGCAGGCTAGGTAATTCTGACAAAAATTATGTTGTTTTTGAATAGACGTTATATTCTGTTAATGAATCAGTGAGTTTTCAAACAAGTAGATTAATTTAAGAATTGAAAAAATTGGGCATTCTTAATAAATTTGTTTACATAAGATTTTTAAAAAATATTTTAATATTTATTGCCAAATATAATAAAGTTTTCTAATAATATATTCAGTAGTTTCATTTGTTTTTTACAGTGCACACTGGTTTTTGGCCGTTGTTTGTTTCCCTGGTTTGGAAAAACCAAAGTATGAACCTAATCCTCATTACCATGAAAATACAGTCACGCAAAAAAGTTCACCTGTAGAGGACAGTTGTATTTCTTCTCCTTCAGCCAGTGAAATGGACAGTTGTTCACAAAACTCTGCTGCCAAGCCTGTAATTAAGAAGATGCTAAACAGAAAGCATTGCATAGCTGTAATTGATTCAAATAATGAACAGGAAGAAAGTGACCCTCGTTATCGGAGAAACATAAGCAGTGTGAAATGTAGTCTGAAAAAAATAAATCATACTGCAAGTGAAAATGAAGAATCGAATAAAGGAGAACCTGCATGCCAGCAATTTGTTGATAGGACTGAAAGTGAGGATGGCCTACAGAATGAATATTTAAGTTCTATGCACCATACAGGTACGTCACGAAATGTTTCAGAAAACCAGAGTGCAGAGTAAGTTGGAGGTTTTAGATATAGGATTAAAATTTCAGGGTGCACTTTTTCTTAAAGTCAGGTTTATTGTATAATTTACTGACAGTAACATTCACTCATGAATATAGCTATAGCTCAGTGAGCTTTGATAAATGTCTATAGTCGTGTAAGCATTACAGCAGTCAAGGTTTAGAACCTTGCCATTACTCAAAACAGTTCTCTTGTGCCCTCTTAATAGTGAGTCTCCTACCCTCATCCTTACAAAGAGGACAGTTTTAAAATTATAGTACAAGGTCTGCATTTTCCATTTGTAGGAACTTGGACTTGTTTTTGTTTTGTAGGAAATTTACTTATTCAGCATAAACAGTGGTTGCACAATCTTAAATCTATAAGGCAGATTAGTTTGATCTTCTCAATTTACAGATGGGCAAATTGAGATCAAGAGGCAAAAATTAAAGCTTTTTCCTCCAAATAGTTGTTGACATTCAAATTAAAGGTTAGTTCCTGTTCCTCACTCTCTTTCATGGTTTTTAGTGGAAAGAAGGGCACTGGTCCAACCTCTGCTTTTTTATTTCCCTTCAGTTCTAATAGATTGTTTCTTTCCTTGAATCAGGTCCATATTACTAGCACTTATCCTGGAAATCTAAGGTCTCTCTTCAAATACTTAAATTTTTTTATCAAGTCAATTGCAGAATTTCTACTTCAACCTCAAAAGTATAATAGTCCACTTTGTGAACTGTAGTATGCTATGTATATAGGATAGCAAACTTAATAAACTATGAATAGATTTAATACATTCTCTCTGGAGGAAAAAACTCAGTATAAGACATAGGAGAAATTATGTGACCTCAGAAAGAACCTACCAAAAGTTGTGAATGCTGAACATACTTTTGGTACTTCTACCAGCCTGTGTTATTTTAGTAAGTCAGAAAGCTGTTGCGGTGCTCTTACAAAAATATTTTTTGTTTGACATTCTCAGCTGCATAAAGCTGATATTAGCCCTATGAATATTGGTCTTTGTGCCTTTTAGGGGGTATAAGATAAGAGGCAAAAGGGGGGAATTTAGCAGATAAAGCAAAAAAGTGCATCAAAACCAAGCAGATAAATGCAGTTGACCCTTTCAGGGGTTGGGGTTTAGGGGTGCTGACCCTCTGACAGTCAAAATCCACCTCTGACTTTATCATAAGCCATTTGTGTCATACCACAGTTCCACATCCACAGATTCACATCCCTGGATTCAGCCAGCCTCGGATTGTGCAGTAGTGTACTAACCTCTCTCTTGGGAGAAAAAAAATCCATGTGTAAGTGGACCAGTGCAGTTCAAATCTGTGTTGTTCAAGGGTCAACAGTACTTATTTTTATTGCTCACTTTCTAATATATTTCATCAGGGAGGAAATGGAATGAAGAAAGGCAAAATAGGTAGTCACCAAGTCACTGTAATTTTTTTTCAATTTTAGTATTTTAATACTTGAATATAAGAAAAAAGTAATAAAAGGCATTGAATAGCTACATTAATTACCATTTTGCTACACTGAAAGTGTTGCGTAGATGGGCACTCTGAAGATTAAGCCTTCAAGGCATGTGCACTGTTTTTCACCGCCTTTGAACAAAAGTCCTGCCAGTTAGTACATGAGAAGATGCTGAATATTGTTAGCCATGAGGGAAATATAAATCAAAGCCACAAGCCTATAGAGTGGATTAATGGCTGCTTGAGCCTTTTTATAGAGCATGGCTAGAATCTGAAAGTCCGATTCCAACAGGTGTTGGTGAGGATGTGGGGAAATTGAAGACTTCGTATATTAACGTAGGAAGGTAAAATGCTTACTTTGGAAGACAGTTTGACAGTTTCTTAAAAAGTTAAGACATAAAGCTATGATAAGATCCAGCAGTTCCACTCCTAGATAAATACCCGAGAGAAATAAAAACATATGTCCACACAAAAACTTGGGCATGAACATTTATAGCAGCATTATTCACAACAGTCAAAAGGTAGAAACAACCCAGATGTTCAATAGATGGATAATGAAACATGATATATCTATTTAATTATTAGGCCATAAAAAGAAATGAAGTAGTGATACACATTATAACATGGATGAAACCGAGAACATGTTAAGTTGAAGTAGTCACAGAATACCACCTATTAATGTGATTCTATTTGTATTAAATCTCCCAAACAGAAAGCCTATATAAGAGGGGATTAATGGTTGCTTAAGGCTGCTTGGGGATTGGAGAGGAATATGGGTAAAAGGGAGTGATAGCTAAAGGGTTTAGAGGTTTGTTTTTGCTTGTTTGTTTTGAGATTTGAAACATTTTGAAAATGTTTTAAAATTGACTCTGGTGATGGTTGCACACATGTGTAAATATACCAAAAACCACTTAATTGTACACTTTAAGGGGGTGAATTGTATGGTATGTGAATTATATTTCTATAGAACATTTTTAAGTTCCTTTTTGATCAATAATTTCATATAGTTTAATATGAATTCAAGTTTAAAAATGAATTAAAATGCATGACTTAGAGCAATGAGACAAAGCCTTAGGGCTTCCTTCGTATAAACAAATCCCAGAAATTCCTAGTGCCCTTTCCTACAAGTTAGTGTTCTAGTTGAGAAGTAACCGGTTGAATTTGAGTATATGTCCCAGTGAATCCTTTAGTTTGCCCTTTCAATATCTGTTTATTCTTCTTTGAAATATTATAGTCTGTGCTTTGTTTTTTTTTTAAGTATGTGTGTAACTATGTCAATTATCTTTAAAGGTAATTAACATTATTATGTGTGATACACTGGTGTTTTTCTATCCTTTTTTAATGTTTATCTTAATCCAGTGACGATAGTGTCCCACAGTTCCCTATAATGGACTTGTGTTTTTTTAAGGAATGAAGTCTCATTTTTCATCAGATGTTTTCAAGGCATCACTCACCCAAAAGAACATTGAATAGCCTCAGAGAGGATGGTTTAAGCAGTCTATGCTATATAAAATTATGATGTCAAAATTTAAGAAGAGGAGAGCTTGTAAAAATTTTTTGTGATTATGATTTGTATCTTATTGATCCATTTCTGTTTGGTCTGATAGTTGACAGGATTTAAATGAAGCATTTTAGGTAGTTTAAACATAATTTAACCACTGAACACATATTAGTCACAAGTGACTTCAATGTAGGTTGATATGCTGCAGGTAATAAGTAGAATTGTATCTTGACACAGGGATTAGGTTTTTAAGATCAACTGTAGGAAAGTAATAATGTGTGTTATTACTTTGATTTGCTGTTTTTTCAGTTGGACTGTTTGAAATAGTTGTCTTGCGATGTATGGTATCAATACATGAACAATATGTGTGTTTAAACTCTAGAATCACACTTGGTTTGGCATCTTCAGATGATCTCACTGTGTGAGAACCTCAGGGACTGGGACTGGTTGAAAGAATCGCTGATTGAGTTACTGCCCCTTATTTTATACCAGAGCATTTGTTCACTGAACGAAATAACTGAAGAAACTGACTATACTGTTTACTTTCTCTCTCTTTTACAATGCACGTGCATTTTCATTTGTATAAAGTTCATGTTTATATGACAATTCCTAGGTAAAAGGTATAATTAGGAATATTTTGCTACTAAAACAACTTGATTGTAATTACTAATTCTGAATTACCTAAGGATTTAGACAAATTTTACTTAAATATAGGTATTTTAGCTTAGAAACATTAAAGTACAGATTGTAAAAGTTATTCTTTGCATAATAAAAGGGTTAATCATAGGGCTTTATTATTTTAAATAGTATTTTTTTGATCACAACATTTAAACTTAATATATGTTAAATATATCTTTTCAGGAGCACTTTTATCCTGTTATCTTCCCATCTTGTCTTGCTTAATAATATTAGTATTCTTAATGCTCTTTTAATAACTCGTACTAAAATAAGTTAAATCCTGTCAAAAAACCTTGAAGTCATGCTTTTAAAAACTTGGAAAGTGGTATGCTCTATAGTAAACAGTATTTGTATATTTGGCATCAAAGTTCTGACTCAGTTTTCATTATTTTTTGTAAATCTTCTCTTTCTTTAAGCTTAATCATTGGTTTTTAAGGATTTGGATTCTTGAAAGAGACCTTTAAAATAATTCTTTTCAGGTATTTCTGTGAGTCATTTATTTTCATACTAGCAACACCGACATTGGCTTGTATTGTTTTATTTTATTGAAAAATCTTATTAATATAACCAAACATGAAGGAAAAATGTGCCAAGTTGAGCTTATCCATAAATACTAATATGATGATTATTTTCATTTTTGTATTTTTTAAAAATTATTTGTGTAAAAGCAAGCCCATCTTATTGTTTTAATCATTTTTTAAAATTTGTACAATTTTCCATATTTTCACAATTTTCATTTCTCACATGTACACAGTATTTCATTTTATGTTCTGTATTTGCTGAGTATTCCTGTTATTTAACAGTTGAGTTATTTTCAAACTATTGTAGCTTCTGTTATTAAAGATATCTAGCATACCTAGCACAAAATCTTTATTTATAGACATGTATTTAAATATACATAAATTTTAATAATAGAATTGATACCTAGTTTTTAATGTTTAATGAATTTTGGGTCTGAGTAGTAGAAACAGCTGTGTAAATAGAATGACAATCCAGGTTTTTAAAAAGTAACTTATTTTGTATTTGTGATATTACATGCTAAGACAGATTTTATATTTGTAATTACTATATAATTGCTACCATCAATTTTAAGATCATATACTATTAAGTTATGTACATATTCTTTTTAAGAATTATGTAATATTTCTTATTCATACAGATGGTTTAAGCAAAATAAGACTAAACTACAGTGATGAATCAGCTGAAGGTAGTAAAATGCTTGAAGATGAACTCATCGACTTCTCAGAAGATCAGGATAACCAGGTGAAACCTAATGCTTAGCAAGAAGTTCCAATATTTTATATCATTAAAAGTTTTTCTTTGGATTCCTCTGCAGTTCCTTCGGGATTGAGTGACATACAACATATTCTAAAGTCTGATCACCTAATTAGAGATAAATTTTTTACATATTTGCCACAAGGATTTTTATCCTCAGTGGTGCTATTTTTTTATTAGTTATTTAGATTTTATTTCAATACTAACAGTAGGCTGTCTTTCATAGGACGATAGCAGCGATGATGGACTCCTTGCTGATGACAACTGCAGTTCAGAAATAGGACAGTGGCATTTAAAGCCTACTATCTGTAAACAGTAAGCATTTACTGTATATCTTGTAAACTACCTGGTGACTTCTATTCACATACTCTCTTAGAATAAAATATCAACCATACTGTTGTAATTTAAACAAGTACTTAAGCAAAAGTCACAAAGGCTTTCAGAATCAGTGAGGAAAACGTGGGTCATGCCCAATGTTGGGATTGAGTTGGGGAGAATGGATATCTTTTCAGTTCTCCATTTGCCCACTTTCCGTCTCTGTGCAAGTGCATAGAAAGCCACTATTCCTTTTGGATATGTAGTGATTTGAAGCAGGAAAGGACAAAAGAATTTTCATTCAGATCCATGTTGGTAACATGGGAGTTGGAGTTTACACTAGTTCCATAGCCACTGTGCGGAGGCTGTAGAGTGACTCAGGGCAGTGCTAAGAGGCGTGTTCCGGGGAACCTCACATTGAGAGTGAGTCTGTTTTGGTTCTCAGAAGTACATATTCTGAGATCTCTCCAGACTTCAGTGATGAAGTACCTATTTCTAGACTTAATTTCTTTTTGACTTTTTGTAGGAAATCTTGTCTGAGATTCTAGTAACAGCATTTGAAAAGCAAATGTTAATATAAAGGAAGACATAGAGACCTAGAGTAGTTAAAAGATTTTCTCTGAATCCCATAAAATGTTAGCCAGGAAGAACCTAGGTCTTTAATCATGTCAGGACCTTCTGTACTACATTAAACATGCTCACATACTTAGGTTTAAGAGGAAAATCTTGAAAGTTAAGTGTTTTTTTATAGTAAGTGTTCTAAAGTGGAATCTTGCCAAAAACAGTGGATTCCAAGGTAATTCTTTTATGTGAAGATTACCTGTTTTGTTATTTAAATTATCAGTAGATTTTTTTAAATGGGATTATCTTTCTTCTACTTTTGTGTGGTCTCACTTTTGGTACTTTGGAACAGGGAATGTTCAAATTTTCAAAATTGTTTTGATTTTGTACTAAATTTTGAAGTATTTTTAGGAACTAGCTATGGAACTTTGGTGAAATACATTCATAACTTAGGTATGGCTAAATTATTACTCTATAATTAAGTATTTAATATAATCATGGGTAGTTAGGTATTATTAAGGTGTTTTTGCCTAAAAGGTTTATATCTCCCCCTCCATTTTATTGTTAATGTAAATCTTTTTTATGCCTTTTAAACATTAAAAAATATTAATATTTGGTCATTTCAGACCTTGTATCCTACTGATGGACTCACTCAGAGGCCCTTCTCGATCAAATGTTGTCAAAATTCTAAGAGAGTAAGTTCAAAACTCTACCTGTACTTTGCATTCTGGTGGGGATGAGGAAGTATGTGTATTTATATGTATGTATGTGTTCTTATTATATACATATCATTGCAGGTATTTAGAGGTGGAATGGGAAGTTAAAAAAGGAAGCAAAAGAAGTTTTTCCAAAGATGTTATGAAAGGCTCTAATCCAAAAGTACCGCAACAAAACAACTTCAGTGACTGTGGCGTATATGTATTGCAGTATGTAGAGAGCTTTTTTGAGGTGGGTTTCAGTTGGTTGGATCTGACTTAATAAATAATAAAATGGTGTTTTTGATCTTACGTTAGTGTAAAAAAACACAATAATCAAATATTTTGGAGAGACTGAAAACTGCTGTTTCAAAAATTATTCCAGGGAGCAAAAACTCATAAATCGGAGAATGTTTAAGACATAAAAAAGACTGTACTCCGCGTAATCCAAATCCACTCACTTCTATCACTAATCAGTTCTTCTTCTCTACTGGCTCTTTTGGCCTTAAGAAATCTCTGCCATGATTCAGGCTCTATCTTTTTACCTTCTTTTCTCTCCTTCACAAATGTGTTTCTGGATACATATTTATAGTCATTGTCTTCATTTCCACAAATCCTACGTGCTTCTGAAATCTGTATAATCTGGCTTGACCCTCACCTTTATACTGAAATTGTTCCTGACCTCCCAGCACCACTGACACTGTCGAGCATTCCTTCCTCATAACACTCTTCTTTTGACTTTACCGTGCATACCTGTCTTGGATATTCTTTACAGTTTATCTTGACTTCTTCCTTTTCTTCATCCACCAGCCATTGTGCAGTAAGTTCTGTGAATTCCTTCACTCAGTGTCACACATGCTGAGTTCTTTAACCCTGTACCACTTTCTCAGTTCAGTTTACTAGCATCACTATTCCACAGTGCTGAACCACCCTCTGGTTAGGCCTCCTTTTTTTTTTTTAATTTATTTATTTTATTTGGAGGCTAATTACAGTATTGTAGTGGTTTTTGCCCTACATTGACATGAATCAGCCATGGGTGTACATGTGTTCCCCATCCTGAACCCCTTCCCACCTCCCTCCCCATCCCATCCCTCAGGGTCATCCCAGTGCACCATCTCTGAGCACGCTGTCTCATGCATCCAACCTGGACTGGCGATCTGTTTCACATATGATAATATACATGTTTCCATGCTAGTCTCTCAAATCATCCCACCCTTGCCTTCTCCTGCAGAGCCCAAAAGACTGTCTATACATCTGTGTCTCTTTTGCTGTCTCGCATATAGGGTCATCATCACCATCTTTCTAAATTCCATATATATGCATTTAGTATACTTAAAAAAATTTTTTTTTTAATTTATTTATTTTTAATTGGAGGATAATTGCTTTACAAAAGCTCCCGGTGTTGTACGGCAACTTCCCACTAGCTATCTATTTTAAACATGGTAGTGTATACATGTCAGAGCCTCTTGCTCGGTTCGTCTCACCCTATCCTTCCCCTGCTGTGTCCACAAGTTCATTCTCTACGTATGCGTTTCTATTCTTCCCCTGCAGATAGATTCGTCAGATTCCATATATGTGCGTTAAATATATGATATTTGTTTTTCTTCTTTTGCCTTCCTTCACTCTGTATAATAAGCTCTAGGTTCATCCACCTCAGTTCAACTGACTAAAATTTATTCCTTTTTATGGCTAATATTCCATTGTGTATATATACCACAGCTTGTTTATCCATTCATCTTTCAGTGGACATCTAGGCTGCTTCCGTGTCCTGGCTATTGTAAATAGTGCTGCACTGAACATTGGGGTACATGTGTCCTTTTGAACTATGGTTTTCTAAGGGTACATGCCCAGGAGTGGGATTGCTGGGTCATGTGGTCGTTATAACGTGCTTGTTTTATAAGAAATCTCCATACTGCTCTCCACAGTGGCTGTATCAGTTTACATCCCCACCAACAGTGCAGGAGGGTTACCTTTTCTCTACATCCTCTCCAGCGTTTATTGTTTGTAGACTTTTTGATGATGGCCATTCTGACTGGTGTGAGGTGATATCTCATTGTAGTTTTAATTTGCATTTCCCTAATAATGAGTGACGTTGAACATCTTTTCATGTGTTTGTTGGCCATCTATATGTCTTCTTTGGAGAAATGTGTTTAGGTCTTCTGCCCATTTTTTGATGAGGTGGTTTGTTTTTCTGATACTGAAATGCATGAGTTGCTTGTATATTTTGGAGGTTAATCCATTGTCAGTTTGCAGTTGTTTTCTCTCATTCTGAGGGCTGTCTTTTCATTTTGTTTATAATTTCCTTTGCTGTGCAAATGCTTTTAAGTTTAATTCAGTCCCATTTATTTGTTTTTATTTCCATTACTCTGGGAGGTGGGTCAAAGGGGATCTTGCTTTGATTTATGTCGAAGAGCATGGTGGCTATGTTTTCCTCTTAAGAGTGTTATAGTTTCTGCCCTTACATTTTGTTCTGTAATCTATTTTGAGTTTATTTTGGGGTATGATGTTAGAAAGTGTTCTACTTTCATTCTTTTACATGTAGCTTGCTGGGCCTCTTGCTGTGTTTTTTTCCCAGTTGTTTTCCCAAAACCCAAATTTAATCATGTTACTTTTCTGCTTTAAATCTTATAATGGCTTCCTGTTGCTCTGGAGTTAAAAGACTGGAATCCTTCACACGGCCTGCATGTTCTAACCCCTGTCCAAGCTTCTAGCCTTCTTTCTACCCTTCTCACTCCAACATTCTGTGTACCGTCTACCTGGATGTCATTTCAGGATCCCATATTCTCTCTTGTCTCCAGACATTGATGCCTGTTTCCTTCCCTGGAATATTCTTCCCTGTTGCTTCCATCATTCCTTATTTGACTAATTCCTACTCATTCTTTAGGTCTTAGCATAAACATCACTTTTTGATATTGTGCTATGTCCTTAGGTATGTATTCTCATAGGACTCTCTGCTTCTCCTGTCTTAATGCCTGTCACATCCATTGTTTCAATTGTTGAGTTATCTGTCTAGACTGGGGTCAGCAATCCTTTTCATAACGGGCCAGGTCATAAATATTTTAGGTTCTGTGGCCATATGGTCTCTGCTCTCCATTCTGCTATTGTGCATGAAAGAAAGCATTCGTAGACAGCATGTAGATGAGTTACTGTGGCTATGTTCCAATAAGGCTTTATTTACCAAAACAGGCAGTAGGCAGAATTTGACTCACTAGCTGTAGTTTGCTCACCCCTGATCTGTAAGCAGAAATTGTCTTACATCTCCAGTGCCTAGCAAAATGCCTGGCATGTTACTGATTTTTTTTCATTTCTACTCTGGAATGCTTTTGTCATTGAAACTAAAATATTACTTATTATAATTTTCTGATGTGCATTTATTATTTTATTTTCAGAATCCAATTCTCAATTTTGAATTACCGATGAATCTGGCAAACTGGTTTCCTCCCCCAAGAATGAGAACAAAAAGAGAAGAAATCCGAAACATAATTCTGAAGCTACAGGAAGATCAGAGCAAAGAGAAGAAGAAGCATAAGGACACTTACTCAACAGAAACGTCTTTAGGTGAAGGAGCAGAGCAGTGCGTCAACAGCATCTCAGATTGATGTTTCCGATGCTTGTCAGTATTGCCTTCAGGAACCGAGTGGCTGTCAACTTTGGGTATAGACAGTAAAGAACTGAAGTGCTCACTACTCAGAGTGATTTGGAAATGTTAATGATTGTATAAATGTCATATAATTAATTTCCAATGGAGTATGTATTAAGTAAAAGTCTGTAAATATGTTAATGAGGCCAATTTTTCCAGCATTTATAATTATTTTTTTCACTTGTTAGGAAGCTTTTGTTATGTATTTTCTGTTAATAGTACTTAAAACTGCAACTTCTAAACACAAATAAATAAAAAGAAAATATTTATAGGAGGAAATGATTAATTTGATATTCTTTAGTGAAATTAAATTCTTCAGTGGGTGTGCTATATTTCATGGGAATATTCAAGTGTCTATGATGATCTTTTCACTTTTGCATTTGTTTTAAAATAAAACGTAAAAATAAGATTAAATTGAAGGCATTTTGAACAAGAAAGACATCTTCATGTGCTTGTATAGCAGGAAAAAAAATAACAGGTTTTTTTAACCCGGATACTTCCTTGTGTTTGGAGAACTTGGCCCCAAAAGTATAATAAATATTTCTAATTTTACTCAATTATTTAAGAAGAAGCAAGTCAAAGAAAAATAACTTTGAATTATACTGCTACATAAAAACTATATCATATGTTATTGTGAAGTACCTTTCTGAAGATATCAAAAACTCAGGTTAAAACTATTTTGGTAAGTACAGCTTGAATTTCAAATATCCCATGTTACCTTCCTATATTACAGTTTAAAGTATCTACAATCTGTGTGATATAGTTAATTGATAAACATTTTTAACCTGTGAACACAGAAATTTAAATAGGAATTTACTATTTTTTGTAATGACTTTTACTATTTTTTCATTGCTCATTTTGTTCTTGTTATTTTGATATACAAAGTACCAGACTTTTTGCACCTGAGTTTTTTAGTGAAAATTATTTTTACATGTAAAAAGTACTATCTTTAATCAGTTGCATACTGCAGAAAATAATAGTCTTATCTTGAATTCCCCTTTAAAAACACTAAAATGTGGTGGTGGTGTTGACACATTTACAGTTCATGTAGGAATCTTGCATATATCTGCTGAAACTATTATTTTCAAATGAAATGTTACACATTCTTTCAAATTAACTTTGAGACTTGAAATTATATATTTGAAAAGTCATTTTTTTGTTAAATAATTTAAAAAGCACATATAACAAGCATAGTTGAGAATAAAAGAAAGACCATTTTTAATCAGCAGTTACTTTATTTTTAATCTGGCCGTTTCTGGCATTGCAACGCACATTTTAGGCTACTTTATTGAATTTAACAAAGTCCCTGGATGTGTTTGGGGTGGATTTGGGGTGTTGTTAACAACAACCAAAAAAATAGAAAAAACCTGCTTTATACACACTCATTAAAGGAAAAATTAAAATGTTAAGTTTCAGGAACATCACCATTAGTGTTATTGATTATGGACTTCTTACTTTGAACTATCTTAACATTTTTATTTGTGATTATATTATTACTTTTTAAGGAATACCCTAGAGCTCTGAACTCAGATATGAAAAGACAAGTTTATTATTTACTGAATATGGACCAAGAAAGAAATTTTTTTAAAAACCTCATGGCAGTACGCAAAACTGGCATTTTTTTTTTTTTTTTTACTATACTGTGTTAGAATTTAAGGTGAACTATTCTAAAATGCTTGTTTTTGTTTCAGTTTCTAATGATTACGTTTTGCACTCTTAATTTTTGAAAAGATAAAAAAATAACCTATCCCTTGGGCCAGTTCAGTCCATCATGTTTTGACATGAGAAATACAGATACGTCTGTCAACTTTCTAGAGGCAGAGTATCCAGCTGTTTGATCATATTTCTCCCACCCTGTATAAAATTCTATATTTAAAAGTTATGCTAATGACTTTGCTTTGGAGACAAATCTTTGGAGACTGCCAGGTTGAGCTCCAAAATTAGAGTTGAGAATCTTTGGTGTGTATGCACATTAACTTGCTAATTGTGTGCTCTGGTACTTCTACATGTAGTTTATAGTGGGTATCAACCTTTTAAAATGTATTATTAGTACTCAGAAGTCGTGAAGCAGAATTTTAAAGCTTAGAGGTTTGTTACTAGATGCTGAAACTGCATGACAGTATCTGGTGTCTTAACTAATTAGATAGATTTGTTGTATTTGTTTTCTTGTTGGATAGAATAACATTTAATCATTTTTAGAAGGGTTTTAGATTACTTGCCATAAAATTTGTATGTGTCTTAGCTCTTGGTAGTTTACGAGCAAAGTTGGCATTCAACTAGTCCTTTTCCTTTGATGTTGCTAAGACAGCTGAAAACTTAATATTTCAGGTTCACATAAACCTAAATCAGTTAAGCATAGTAACCTGTGCTTAAATTATTAGTTAATTAAATGTAGGCAGTTTTATTTGAAAGGATGAAATAATTATCTAAATTATATCTTGTTTAAGTCACCAAAATGAATTTCATATTTTTCTCTTTAAAAAACTATGATCTCTGAGAACTGTAAGATACAAAAACGAATGTTTTCATTTCCCAGAAGTTAAAAATTATAATTAAAGTCTCAGAAAAATCACTGAAGAGGAATAATAAAGAATATATTTTAATATATATGATCAAGAGTTGGTGGCGTAAAGCTTACTGGGATATAGTAATAGAAAGGATAATTTTGTTAGACAAAACCCATCAGAGATGAGGCTGTGTGGTACTGTGTGTGTAGAAGAGGTGCAGACAGCAGGGTGGCTCTGAGAACAAAGCAGAAGGAGGAGATTCTTGGGGAAGGAGACCACAGACTAGCCAGGGGACCATCAGTGGAGAGCTGACCACTGAATGCACAGAGGCAGACCATAGTAGGAAACGTAGCCCACTGAACAATGTTCTAAAATACTCCAGCAAGACTTTCTGGTACATTTGTCATTTCACTACTCCCAAGAAGAAGTAAAACAGTTATGAAAACTGTGCTTCAAAACTTAAATTTAACCACAGAGGAAGTATTGGTTGATCAAGTGGAAGAAATGTATACCTTGGGGAGAATAGGCCTCCCATCTTAATTCTGAAAAGCCAGATGAAGAAATAATGGTAGAATGCCCTGAACTATTAAGGAAATCAGAGGGCAGTGTACTTAGAGGAAAATACCACAGATCCATAGTCTGAAACAGAAAAAAGTTAAAAGCTTGGAGGTCTTCACTGTCTTTATTACAACAGTCATGCCATACTTACTGTAGATTATAGCGAGGAATATATTATCCAAAACAAGGATTTTCCAGAAATGTGCAAAGGATCAATATATGTCCCTAACATCTTTCAAGTTGCTGGTCCCAAAGGTAATAAGGCTTGCCTGCATTTTCTTCTCTCAAATGCTTTAAGATACCACTTTACACCTACCTCCCAAATTCTCATTAAGAACTTAATAGGTAAAGTTAATAAATTCCTGTTACTAAACTTTGCAGAATTATAAAGAAATTAAAGTACTCAAAGGTTAGAGACCATCAGATACCTTGTTTTTCAAAAGGCACAAAGTAGATTCTGCAAATTACAAGAACATCAACTCTTGATAAGATTCTAAAGTGGATTTATTAAATGGATGATTTGTGAACTCTTAATGGTCACCAGGAGTTACGGGTTGTAACTCCTGAGTTGTTTGTAACCAGAGTTGTTTAGTATTTTAACTAGGATTCTGAACTTGTCTGTCAATCTGTAGAATGGAGCCAGACTAACAATTCTCAACGTGTGTTTGCTGACTCTAGTTTTGAGAGATATAAGTTCTGTGGTTGAATAAGTTTAGAAAAATTTTGAAACAAATTTAATAGGTTTCTTGGAGCCAATATGCAGAATGATTAAACAAGGAAAATACAGAACACAGTATACTAAATTCAGAATTTGACCATATCCTCTTTCTCTTCTCCTGCACTGGTTCTCTAAACTTCCTTATAAATACTAGCCATCAGAAGACAGAATTAACAATTTGGGGTGTTTGTGAACTGAACTTTATGAGAAGATGTTTTGAGACTTAGTATCTGAGGCTGGTTATTTTTTTACATTTTATTTTATTAATACTTGGGTATACGATTTGGAAACTTGAAAATAAATGACTAGTGTCTTGGGGAAATGAAGTTTCATGTGAATCATTCTTGGGGAAATGAAGTTTCATGTGAATCATTCTTTTATAATTATCATTAAAAAATAACAGACCTAACTTTTTATATATAAAGTGGATTCTTCTAGAGAAAATAGATTTGATGATTCTAATTTTTATAAGTCATCAAACTTCCTAAACTCATTCATACACAAGTAGAGATTGTGTAAAAAGATGAAAGTGAGCTGAAAGATTATCTGGAGGCTCTTCCTTCTGTTTACATCTGAATCACTTAACTGCAAGCTTACGCCTCCCCTAATTTCCACTCCATCAGCCTCTAGTTTAGAATTAAATTGAAACCCACAAACTTTATAGCTAGGAGCAGTTTTTTTTCATTCTGAAGAAATCTGTGCAAAGAAGTACTCTTTATTGATTTGATATACTTTCCATGTTTAATCCCTCAAATAACCAAAAATTAGTTGTTTAAAGCTTGTTATAAAACTCACTACACTTATTATAATTAGCTTTATATATGTTGACAGTAAAGGATTTGATCCAAAACAGATGAAAGTGTATTCCCTCAGTCACGTCCGACTCTTTGCCACCCCATGGACTGTAGCCTGCCAGGCTCCTCTCTCCATGGAGTTCTCCAAGCAAGAATACTGGAGTGGGTTGCCATTCCCTTCTCCAGGGGATCTTCCCAGCCCAGCGATCAAACCTGAGTCTCCCGCATTGCAGGCAGATTCTTTACTGCTGAGCTATCAGGGGAGCCCAGAGATGAAACTGATCCTTAAGCACAGAAGAAATGCTCCAAGTACCTACTTTGTACTAGATACTCGGGGTTTAAAACAGCGAGCCAAACAGACACCATCTCCCCTCATGGAGCT